GATGAGCTCCACATAGGACTCTCTGCTCAGCAGGGACCCTGCTTCCCTCACCCTCTCTCTGTCTGCCTACTGTGTGATCTCTTTCTGTGTGTCTGTCAAAGAAATAAATAAAATCTTAAAAAACAAAAACAAAAACAAGGATTTCACAGATACAAAGATTGGTTTCTAGGGTTGTCTTTCCAAAGTTTGCTGGAAGGTGAAACAAGACTGGGAAATGGAAGATCATTGGAGCTTAGGTGATCTACAAATTAATCATCCATTAGGCCACAGTCATAAAATTTGGGATTTTCATTGATGAAATTGCATTAATCTGTCCTGTAGTCTTTCATATGTGTATATAAGTTTATATGTATTATTTAATCTAATAATAATATCAAGCCAGCTTCTATGAGGTAAATACTGTCATTATATGCCTTTAATAGAGGAGAAAACTGAGGCTCAGAAATTAAGTCATTGCCCCCATTTGTACAGCGAGGTGGCAGAGCTATAATTCAAACAGAAGCAGGTTGCCTCCAGTTAAATAGAATCTGTAAGTACTTAAGCATTATGGAATTATAGCGTATGTAGTAGTTTTTCATTTTTATATTTTTCTTTGAAGGAGTTTAGGACAATATGTAAATTATTCTGAGGTTGAGATGGAGATTGTTTCCCATATTTCATAAGTGATGATGGGAAGGTAACAAAATGGAGAGGCTTGACCAGAGTCGTGGAGGTTTCTTGTTAAGTCTTCATCTTACCAGTTGGTTGAGCTTCTTCTGAAGATGTTTGGGAGTTGTGAATGTAGCCATCCTTCTTTGAGCTCTGACAATCTCCATTATTTTCATATATTTTTTAGACCTGGCTAGCAGTCCTCAAAGATCAGAACTTGTTTATTACTGACATTGAAGAAGATTTTTTTTTTTTTTAACATTGGTAGGGAGTTTGAACTAGACTTCTACTAAAGTTTTTTCCAGCATTATACTTTATGATTTGACACTTCTTCCTTCATTCAACAAATGCTTTTAAGATTAATACTACTATGTGCCAGGTACATCCTGAGAAGTTAAAATTGCCGTAAATGTAATAAGCAGAGTAACAAATTTACTTTAGGTAATGCTGACCATAGATATTTGGTAGTCTCATGTTGCACTCAGAATATCCTCATACCCCAATGCAATACCAGTTACTCTGTGTTCCTTAGAGGTATTCTAGATTCAGTTGCATTTCTTCTTGTTGTTGTTTTTTAAATTAGTTGAAAACTGTCACCAGCAAAACTACTCTTAACGAGATATAATAAGACTTTGATTGTAAAGATTGTCAAGAAACAGTGGGAATGATCAGATTTTTTTCATTTCCTTGTTCTGTTGCTACTGTACTATGTGTACAAAGTGTAGCATTTTTGTTAAATGAATCTTAAACTGATATCCACTAGGGGCACATCTACTCTAGGTGAGTTCACATCTTTGGTATGAGGGTATGTTTTGAGAAGCCATATTCCACATTATTTTTTTAATATAAAATGAATTTTATTACAAATTTCAGAAAGTTAAAGTAGTAATTTTTTTTTTTTTGGCCCCTGGGGTTAAATATAATCTGTAATGATTCTCAGTGACAAATTGGCAGCTTAAGTATTCTGAATTTCCTTGTAGATGAAATTTTAGGTTTATCAAAAAGTTCATGGGTTAAAAAAGGGTTGAGGGACATTGTTTTAAAGACCCAAGGACTAGTGCTCAGTAGATATAGGGCGTAGGTTCTATTAATCTGTGAAGTACTTTAACCAAATCATATCACATTGGAATTGTGATCTACTGATAAAATACTCATTCTAGCTGTATATCATGATGCTATGTGCATTTATAATAAAATTATTATTTTGCCAAGCATGTTGCTGATATTTTTTATTTCCAAGTTTTTAAATGGGGTAAAGAATTGCATATTATAACATCTTACTTGAAGTGCTTTTCATGCTTTAATAATATATTCAAAATAGCTGTACAGATACATTAAAAATATTCTTGTTAGTATGATTCACCTTAATTTCAAATTAACAGTAAAGATAATTCAGGAAAGTCTGAGTTTTGATTAAGACAATTCAGTCTTTTTGTTTGTTTGTTTTGTTTTGTTTTTGGTAGAATAGCCAGTGACTTTTAACAGTGGAATTCTAACATTTAGAGGGTCTGACTTAACTATATCTGTGCTCATCCAGTCTATTACTGGATAACTTAAAGTCAGTTTATAATCATAATAAATAATTGACTTTTTTTTTTTTTTTTTTTTACTGTAGTTGACATACAGTGTTACATTAGTTTTAGGTATACAGCACGGTGATTTGACAGATTTATACAGTATGCTGCACCACAAGTGTATCTACCATCTGTCACCATAGTTCTAGTACAATATCATTGACAGTATTAATTATGCTGTGCCTTTTGTTTCCATGACTTACTCATTTCATAACTGGAAGCTTGTATCTCCCACTCCCCTTCACCTGTTTTGCCTATCCCTGACCCGCCTCACCCCTTTGGCAGTCTTGGTTCTTTGTATTTACAGGTCTGATTCTCTGTTTTGTTTTGTTTTTTGTTTTTTTTTTTTTAACTTAATTAAAAAATAAAAATAAAAAATGATGAATTGACATGTTTGCATCGTTGTTTGAAGCTTAATGAGCTTTTGACATAAAGGGAATTACTAGTATTCAAGAAGCAAAGTTTGTTTAAAATCTGTCTTAGGGGCGCCTCTGTGGCTGTCCTCAAGCATCTGCCTTCAGCTCAGGTCATGATCCCAGAGTCCTGGGATCAAGCCCGGAATTGCATTAGGCTCCCTGCTGAGTGGGAAGCCTGCTTCTCCCTCTCCCACTCTTGTGTTCCCTCTCCTGTTGTGTCTCTCTGTCAAATAAATAAATAAATAAAATCTTTAAAAAAAAAAATAGAGTCTGTCTTAAACTGAATACCTGTGTTAAAGCCAGAATCATACAGAAATACAGAGCTAAAAACTAAAAAATCACAAATACATCTTTTATATATCAGTAAAAGTTTTTAGTCAAGTATTTTTTATAAATGAGTAATTGTGTAACATCTCATGGCCTTTTATATCATCTCATGGTGGGTTCACAAGATGGAGATTAAATGAAATTTTTGAATCTTGACATTTAGATAAAACAGCAGAAATTTAGCAGATAGAAAGTACATAAAAATAGGAGTTTTGCTTATAATTGTTTTAAATTTTTGTCTCTTCACTGTGTAAATCTGCTCTGTGGCATAGCTTCATTGCTTTAGGTAATAAGTAATGTACCAATTTTGTATTCTAAGGACATGTTCCATGTATTTTCACAACTAAGTAAATTTCTAAATTTTTTTAAATGGTGACTTTTTAAATCTCTATTTTTATTATTTTTAATTAAAGATTTTGCTTACTTATTTGAGACAGTGAACATGAGCCAGGGGGGATTGGCAGAGGGAAAGAGAGAAGCAGATTCTGCACTGAGCAGGGAACACAATATAGGGCTCCATACCCTGACCCTGAGATCATGACCTGCGCTGAAGGGAGACACTTAACCTACTGAGCCACCTCGGTGCCCCTCTAAGTAAACTTTGTCCTGATCATATATGCTTCAATTTTACCTCATCAAAGAACTTTTAATCATCATAAGTCTAAACTTTTACTTTCACATTTAAGAAAAGAGAAAACAGTTCTTGAAAGTTAAATTTACTTGTCAGTAGCCTTAAATATAATGTTTGAACTGAAATTAGAATTTTAGAAGAATGCAGTGTTGATTGTTCTTTGCCTTTTTGCTCTAATACTAACAGCTTATAATTAGGTTTTTCCTATTAAATTAAGATGAAGCTTTGTGATTAAGTTTTTCATTATTTCATTTCAGTCTTATGCATAGACTTCAAATAAGTGAAAATTCTTTTGATAACTTTTTTTTTAAATAAACTAATGAGTCAAGAATAGTTAGCTTTCCTTACAGCAAGCTTAAAAAAATAGGAAATTTATAAAAATAGTCGCAAGACTGTAATAGTTTTGACTATTGACTTATGGCTAGATATTAATATATCAATGCAATATGAATGTTTTATTGTTTTTCTGTGAGTGTTTCAAGAAAGACTACGAGTATCAAGGATGAGTTGGGATGACTAACATATTGAAGGTGTAAAAATATTTCATGACAATTACTTTGTAGAACTATTACCATGGCCATGTGAAAGTTCCAGTATGTTTCTAATTATGCTTGTTTATATTAATCCATGAGTCTTTTATAGGCATTAATTGGTAGCATGGGTGATGCTAGAATTAAAACCAGTCATTTAAGCAGATTATCTGGTATTGTGGTAGGTAGAACATATTTAAAGTGAGAGTAAGAAAGTTAAAGGGACAAAGATATTACTTATTTCCACATGTTTGTTAAATAAATTTGAAGAATTAAGATCAGATATGTGGTTATGGAATAAATAATCTTAAGACCAAAGGGAATAATCAGCTTCATGTTGAAATAGGAAATTAGAACACTAGTCTTTTGAAAGTGTCATTCTATTTTCCTGTTCTAGGGCACAGATACTGAAATGGAATAAAGTTTTATTTTCTTACAGGTATCATTTACCTTGCTTGTTATGTCAAGTGATATACTTAGGAACTTAAGCATAGAGAGATGTAGTAATTGTTTCCATTTGTCCATCATATTCTTTTCTAAATAAAGATTTGATTGTAATAAATGCTTATATCTTGACCAGGTAGACAATCCTGGAGGTAGAAGATAAACAGAAATGGAAGAGGTTTATATGTGAGATGATTAGCCCTGAGTTGATAGAAAAAAATTAAAAACTGAGTAAATGATTTTTTTTTTTTTGAGAGACTGAGAAGTTAAAAACAATTGAGTTAAAATTGGAGTAATCTACTAAGAGTAAAAGGTAAATGTGTAAATTATACTTAGGTATTTGAAACCTCTAGTAGTAAGTTTTTCAACTACCACTATTAATTTTATAGTTGCTGTTTGTATTTTAATCACAACTCTTTTTTTCCCTTAGGTGGTATCATGGAAAACTTGATAGAACTATAGCTGAAGAACGCCTAAGGCAGGCAGGGAAGTCTGGCAGTTACCTTATAAGAGAGAGTGATCGGAGGCCAGGGTCCTTTGTACTTTCATTTCTTAGCCAGACAAATGTTGTCAACCATTTTAGGTAAGTCTTTATTTCTAATATGAGGCTAAATAATATAGTGATTTTGCTGTAGTGTTCTTAAATATGCCTGCTTTAATAAGGATGAATGTTTCATTGATATTTAAATGATGGGGAAAGTGATTTGTTTTCAATTATGCGATTTAATCAGAAGATTATAGAGTAGATATTATTGAATGATTGCTTTTTTGTTTAAAAACAATATTGGGCACTACTGTGCTAATCTCTAATATAATTACCACTTTTAAAGTATAAAGAATTATGAAGAAACTTTGAGTGGTAAAGCAGAAATAAAGGAAATGTGTATTTTTAGACTACAGAGTAACAAAATATAGGAAACAGAGTCAAGATGTGTGCCCTCTAACTCATTTTGCTTCACTGTTCTGAAATTCTTTGCAAACATTCATGTCAAAGGTATGTAGATTTTCAAGTACAGATGCCAAAGTCTGCATACATATACATACCTATATTATTGTCTTCTATTTCATTTTTATGGGAGACATTGAAAAAAAAAATCATGTATTGCCTATCATGGTAACTGATAAATGTTTATATGCCATTGACTTTCAGATTTTAAGATAAGTTGTAAGAGCACTTTATACTGCACATAGAATGTGAAATTATTATAATACTCTAAATATTTTGAGATCTGTAAGCTACTTTTAGCTAGAGAAACTTATTAAGATTGCTGTTTAGTCTTAAATATGAAAAGTGAGCAGAGGTATCTGAAGATAGATTTATAAATACTGCAGTGAATTATGTAATGGGGTTTGTAAGTTAGATACGTATTTCATATCTATCTCATGTATGCATATGTATTTTTAGAAGAAGTAATCTTAGGTAAATTTGCATTGGCAGATGTTAGTAAGTGGTATTTTAATATTAGGATATAGTTTAAGGAAGAGTATAACCATTAGGGATGTATAATTTCTTCAGAAATTGGTCTTTAAAATTGGCTCTGAAGGTTTTTGTTATACTGTATTTTTTTCCTGTACAAATAGGATTATTGCTATGTGTGGAGATTACTACATTGGTGGAAGACGTTTTTCTTCACTGTCAGACTTAATAGGTTATTACAGTCATGTTTCCTGTTTGCTTAAAGGAGAAAAATTGCTTTATCCAGTTGCACCACCAGAGGCAAGTAAAACTTAAATACAGTATTTTTCAAAAATTCAGTATTTTTCAAAAATTTATAATTTCACTTTACTAATGAGGTTAGCTCTTGTTCAGTTTCTTATGGTATTTATTAAAATTTAAGAAATATGTGTTGTTTTAAATTTTAATTCTGGTTGTAATCTCAGCAAAACTGATATCCTTTTCAAAAAAAAATTTTTCCGTAAGTTTGTATTTAAGTTGCTAGATTTTTTTTTTTTTTAATTAATACTGTATGGTGATAGCTTAACAGATGTTTTTAAGTGAATGAGCAGTAATGACTGATATAACATAGTGCTAATCCTGCAGGTGCTGCAAGATTCTGAAATGCCTTTTAAATCATCAAAGAAAAGTTAATTTATATGTTCCATGTAGTTCATTTAAAATTAAATGGCTACTCATATTACTTGATAAAATCATTGGTTATACAGTTAAAAGAATTTCTATTAAAAAAAACCCCAGAAATAAGACAAGTATTTCTAGGCTTTGAGTATTTAGAACCTTACTGAAAACAATTTGAATGATCCTGTGTTCATAATGTAGATTTTTGTTGTTTTAAACTTTATGTGGATATACCTAATTTGACTTTGACATAAAACGGTTATTTATCTTTTATAAATCTTTTTTTTTTCTTATTCCTAGCCAGTAGAAGATAGAAGGCGTGTTCGAGCCATTCTACCTTACACAAAGGTTCCAGACACTGATGAAATAAGGTATTTTAGATTGTATTCTCATTTATAGGCATTTGAAATAGGCATTTGACAGACTTTGAAAATTTAACTACTCTTGGGCTGGGAAGGTCTTGGACTTTGAGGAAATAGCATGTAGCAGGCTAGCAAGTTCCTTTAGTATTGAGTTCATCATTCCTGTACTCCTGTGTTTGGCTTGTTCAGAATATGGATTTGGATCAGAGTGGCCACAGTGAAGATGACAGGTGAAATAAATTCAGATTTTATTAGACTGTCTTTGACAACGTAAGGATAATTGTTATATTCTGTACTCTAATTTATATTACTCCATGGCATTTATGTCTCAACTGTAATTTGTACATAAATGATGACTAAACTTCTATTTTACATGATGAGTGAATGGTTTAAGTGTGGCATAGAACTACAGAACATGATTATTTAAAAGTTATTTTTATATTTTCTGATTTATATATAACTTATTATTTTAAAGATTTTATTTATTTATTTGAGAGACAGAGATCACAAGTAGGCAGAGAAAGGCAGGCAGAGAAAGAGGGGAAGGCAGGCTACCTGCTGAGCAGAGAGCCCGATGCGGGGTTCCATCGCAGGACCCTGGGATCATGACCTGAGCCGAAGGCAGAGGCTTTAACCCACTGAGCCACTGAGTTGCCCCAACTTATTTTTATTACTTTCGTATAATCTGATGTTTGATAATTAGCAAATGATCAGTGTCTTTCTATAAGCTACTTTGCAATAGAAAATTTATTACTGGTAAAATGTTTACTGATTCTGGTATATAGCTTCTCACTGAAAGCAGCAGCAGCATTTAAAAACAGTAACCTTAGGAGGTACTGCAGTTTCTGGAAATGTGGTATTTTAAAAAATAAAGATTCAAATATCTGGAATCTCAGAATAAGGATTCTATTTTTATATGATTGTCCACAAAATAACAGCTTCTCATTTAGTTTTTATTGGCATACCTTTATTTGTGATCTAAGCAGGAAAAGCCAGTGAAAGAAAGGGAAGGAATGAATTGTATACAATAAAGAACAACAGTGGTGAACTACCAATTCAGGAATTTTGAATAACTTGTAAATTCCCCGTGTATCCTCTAGGACGGCAGTGCTCAAAGTTTGATCCATGTAACTTTGGGGATCCTTGAGATCCGTTTAGAGAATTCAAGAGAGCAGAGCTGTTTTCTTGATAAGACTAAGATAAAATTTGCCCTTTTCACTGTGACATTTACACTGATGGTACAAAAGCAACAAGCAGTGAAAGTATTAGTGTCTTAGCACAAATCAAGGCAGTGGTAGCAAAGTGTACTGTTCTTCATGCCACACACTTGGAAGTAAACAATACAAAAGTTTCCCCTCAAATTTCTTGATGAGACCGTAAAAGGTATTTTTCTAAATCTCAATCATTTTAGTATTCTGTGTGGTGAATATCTTTTTAATCTTCTGGGAGATGAAGAAAACTGGTTCCTTTTTAATATTCTGTGTGATGAAATGGGAAACATGCACAAAATGTCTTGGCTGAGTACCACAGGTCCTTGTCTTGAGGAGAGCAGTGAGTTGAGAGCCAAGCTAGCTTCTGCTTCTGTGTATACCATTTGTGCTTAAGACTCACAGGCAAACTATCCAACAATGGTTGTTCAGACCAGAGTATTTGACATTTTTTTTTTTTTTTTTTAAAGGAGTGAGTTTGTTACTTTAGGGGAAGTAAGTGAGTGCCAGTATTTGTTGCCAGTGACAAAATTTGAGCTTACAAGCAAAAATGAAAATTTTGGAAACTCCTGTCAGGAGTTTGACAGTTTTCCACATAGTCCCTGATTTTTCTGATGAGATTGGTGGTGATATTAAAGAATGTGACATTTTGATTGTGTAAAATGGACCTACATCTGGGTGATCTGCATAGCTTAGTGAACCATTATCTTCTAAATGATCGATGCATGCTGTTAAAGAATTATGCCTGGGTAAAGGTCCATTCAAAGTGCAAGATGGACAAATCGATATTACTGAAATGGGGTACAGAAAGCTCATTGATAGAGTTTTCGATTCCTTAATACAACTAACCTTCAAGTACCAATTGTTGAGTTTTTCATAGCATATCTATAATTATCTGAGAGGCTATTAAAATACACATTCCTTTCACAGCTACAAATATTTGTGAAGTCAGATTTTTCTTCATATACTTCACACAGAAAAAAAAACCCTGAAATAACAGATTGAATGTAGAAACAAAAGAATCTGGCTGTTTACAAATTGAGATTTGCAAAAATGTAAAACAACATTCTAACAAAACATGTAAAAAATAATAATTTTTCATATTCTTTATGTTACCGTGTGATGGGTATATTATTTTAAAAAACATTTATATTTTAAATTCCAGTATGGTAAATGTTAATAGATATTAACTCATATAAATAAAGGTTTTTTAGGGTATCAGTTTTTAAATATAAAAAGGAGTCCTGAGAGACCTTCAGAACTGACTACTACTGGTTTAGGAAGATGAAAATTTAAACAAGTATAGGAATATATAAGTTTTAATTTGATCATATAAATATATGTGAATGTATGAGTCCTTAAAAATTTGTATGTATCTGTGAAGTTATTGTTTTGTTTTGTTTTGTTTTAGGTAAAAACATCTGAAGATTAATGAGACTTAATAAGGCATTTTAACTTTTTTTTGGGAAAAATGCAAAATAAAGAATGTTATGATTATATTGTTATAACCTTTTTATTTTAAATGTTTTTTGTTTTGCATCACGTATTTAGTGTTTAGAAACAACATAAGTCAAATTTGAAAACATTCTCTTATGATGGTTTTTGATCAAGAAATGAAGCTATATTTCTATATTTTTGCCCATATATATGCTTCTTTTACTCATAATTATTATTTTTTATTTTTTTATTATATTTTTTTTTCATAATTATTTTTTTAATGTAGTTATTTAGGAGAGTGGTTCTAGAAAGGAGTAGTTTATTTTGTTAAGTAGTAATGTCCTGCCAGCCAGCTAATGAAATAGTAGTCACTGTTAACAAGGGTTGTAGAACCAAGATAGAATGCGGTATTACGTGCTCATCCAAATAGAAATCATCTGAAGTGTTGTGTATAAGTTTTTAGTCTTGAACCTGTCCAGGAAACAGTGAAGCTTGAGATACATTCTGGTGGAAAACAGTTTTCAGAAGTATGAGAAGATATTACTTAATGGAACTTTGGTTTGTGAAATTTAGACTGAGGAAACTTGTTTAAAAAATATGCAATGGTAATATAAATAGAGGGTTAATAGTAGCAGCCAGTCAATCTTGGAACTTTGAACGCTAGGAGGCATTCATTCAGGCCTAAAATGAAGCGTTCAGCGAATTACTGATGTTGAAAAATGGCATCAGTATAAAACTTACTCCTCCTGCAATTCTGTGGAGGTTGAAAACGTATAGGTTCCAAGGAAAAGAAACTAGTTTGTGTATGCAGCTCTCTACTCAGAAATTGTTAACAAAAAAAAGCATGTATGCATTCTATCTTTTGATACCACTTTCAGAGAAAGAATGCTTGCTATGTTATATCATGGATGTGTTAAGTGAATTAAATAAACATTAATGATTTTTATGAGAAAAATGTTAATTCTCATAAACATCTGCTGAAAAGTCTAATTGTGCTTACTTAAAGTTTTTCTAAAATAGCTGTATCTTGTGTAAATGTAATGAGCGAATTATATTATGATTTTATATCTAACCTACGTCGAAAAGAATAATTACATGGAAGCTTAAATTTTTAAATTCAGTTTTCTTGGAGTTATAGCCTAAAGCCTGTAATACATATATAATTACTGTTTACACAAATTTTAATTTGAATTTAAGAGTAATCCAATAATGTAGATAGTGCAGATACCATTATTAAATCCATTTTACAATGTGAGGGAATAAGATTCAGATTGTTAAGTGTCTTCAGAGCTTTATATTTAGGTGATGCCAAAAAACAGGACAAAAATCCAGGGTATTTGACTTTAATTTCTTGCATTCCCAATATCATATTATCTCTGTAGTATGGCACATGATTACTCAAATTTCCATGTTTAAAATTTTAATTCAATTTTAATAACTTCATAATTGCTATTTTCAGTTTCCTAAAAGGAGATATGTTTATTGTTCATAATGAATTAGAAGATGGATGGATGTGGGTTACAAATCTACGAACAGATGAACAGGGTCTTATTGTTGAAGACCTAGTGGAAGAGGTGGTAAGTTTTGTTCTTCTCCTATCACTCTCAATTTTAAATATTCTGTACATTTCTGGAACTTATCTGTAATCAGGAGAAATTAGTAATGGAACTTTTTTAAATTAAAAATGTCAATTCCCTAGAACAAAGAATTTCTCATTAAAGTGTATTTACTGTAGTAAAGGTTATTTATCTGTAAAGAGGATAACTAAGCCAGCATGTTTGAATCTTTAACTGTTAATTTTCTGGAAGTTTTTTTTCCAGAAAGTTTTTATGAGTTTCTAAGAATTAAAAAAAATTACCATTTGTGCCTATTTGTATCTCCTTTTGTCTTCTTAGTGGTTTTCCTCAGAAATGAGGCTATGAAAAAATGATCACGGAATCTGAATCAAATAGGGTTGCACATGTCTGCTTTCAGAATCTTTATCTCCCAAATATATGTATAATTTTCTAGTAACCTTAGCAAAACTTAGTTTTTACCACCTTTCTACATTTCCAGTATTCCCATTTTTATTGTCGCCACATAATACAACATCAGTAGTCTTGTCACACAGTGTTGATAATTGTGTTTTTTGATAGCAGGTCCGCTTTCAAGTAGCATTTGCATTTCAGACGTATCAGTATCACTGAATCTTTTTTTTTTTTTTAATCTTTTTAAAATCTTTTTTTTTTTTTCAGTATCACTGAATCTTATCAAACATACTACAGTTTTGGAGTTCATCCTTTTTGGATTTGGATTTGTTTAGTGTGATGGAATGGTTTCTTTTTATCTTTCACAACCCTCAGAGCTACTGTTTTAAAATATGTCATGAACTTGATAATATTCTGAAACCTGTACTTTGATTATTTTCCAGGAAGATTGCAGTGGAGAACATTTTTCTTTGTCATTAATTCTCTTGATTAATAGATCTTGATATGTAGAAGTAAAACATAACTTGAGGAAAAGTGGAGGGCAGTTGAGGAAATGGTACAATACATTGCATACAAATAGTTAGTTAGTGGAAGAGCTGGGATTGGAACTCCTAATTCCTAGGTTAGTATTTGGTAATTTACAGTAGGGAGAGATATTTTTCTCAATGTAGGCCAGAAGTGTTCAAACAGAAGAATCTTACTGTGTTGGTTTTACTACAAAATTTCTTAGTTAAAACATTTTTATGTTGGATTTTTTTTCTCCTGCTGTAATACCCCTATCCCTATTTTTCTGATTATTTAAAGAATTTAGAGTATAGTTTAACTTTCTCCAGCTCTTGGGATTCTGGATCAAATTTAATAAGATAAACCTTAAGAAGAATAAGTTAAAAGTTATCCAATGAGTACAGGGGGAAAAAAGCCCAATTTAACATAAAGATACATAACATAAATAAAAGGAAAAAAAATAACAAATTAACGAGTAAGTATGAATGAACGATGTTCTGCTAAAAAGGGCTGCTAAAAAGGAATATAGTCAAACTTTGAATTAATAGTAGATAATTCCAAGTTAGAATTAATGAACAATTTTTACTCTAATACTTAAAATAAGTTTTCATAATGGTCTTCATTGGATCCTAGTGATTCCTTGTAGCTTGAAAAGCCATTTGCAGATTGTCTAGATTTCAGACATTAGATTGGTGGTTGGATTTAAGGATTTTCCCACTCTGAAATTCTAATTACTGTTCTTCAAGAACATGTCTACTTTTATGCTTTAAATCTAGAATGTAAGATTTGTGAGGATTTTTGTCTCTGATTCAGTGGTGTATCCCCATAGTATAGAATAGTGTGTCTGGCATTAGTATGCATTCAGCAAGTATTTGTTGAATGAATTTCTTTATGCCTCACTTTTCCTGACACTCCTGCCCTGCTAGACTACTACCACGTAAAATTTGATTCATCTTTTTATCTCAGAGGCTTCCTAGTTTTCACAGAGGATTTATGCCTTTCTTAGGCTAAATTGTTTCCTCTTGTGTTTCTATAGCACCTTGTTAATCTTTATTTTATTACACTGTATAAAATTAATTTATGGTGTCAACCTATTCTGTAGAGATTAGCTCCTTTTGGGTAATGATTATGCATTTGTGTGTGTGTGTGTGTGTGTGTGTGTGTGTTTTAAGCATACTGCTTTGTTTTATAATAGACATTCAGTGGTTGTTTTAGTTCACTTAGGTATTTGATGGGTAAGGAACAAATTGAGAGAGGTGAATGCCTATATAGATAGACCATTTTTCTATATTATTCAGTGAAAACCTGGTGTCAGATACCCAGTTTTGCTGGGTACTAGGAGTACAGGTCAATAAGTATTCAGTGAAAATTATATGCCCAGTATTGTGCTAGTGGTTATGGGGTGGTTGGGATTAATAAAGAAGAGTTAAGATCTTAAGGTGCTTACAGCCATTATTAAGGAATGAATAATATTAATGTATCTTAAATAATAGGCATGCCAAATAGAGTAAGGTAAAGTTCAAAAGATGATAAAAGAAAATGTCTTTCTATTCAAAGTAGAAGTTTATGTTTTAGGGACTCCATATTTTACTGAGAACTAGTATTTGAAGAAGATACTGTCTGGATAGTTTAGGTTAACAAACAGGTAGGAAGCAGTGAGTGGAAAGGACATTCTAAGTTAAAAAGAAAAAGCCAGTGGTGTTGAGAATACAGATAAGCAAATGGGTAGTTATGTGGGTCCATTGTATAGATACCTAAAAAGAATTGGTACTAGGAGATAGGAAATGTAGACTTGAGTGATATGATAAAGGATTTTGGTTTTATTAAAGGAGGAATTTGTAGGGAGCAGAGAGGTATTAAAGGTCTGGTTTTTAAATTTTGTTTCTTTTTGTTTGGTGTTTCTTAGTGCAGGGGAAAGTTGCACTTGAAACTGAGGAGTCCAGATTGGAGTGGTGAGATAATGGGATTGGGCAGGGCACAGAGGTAATTAAACTCTTTGGGCTGTGGTAATAGTTTGAGAAAAGGGAGGAAAAAGGCCTGAATTCAATAACCACAGGAAGAGGAGGAGAGTAGTAACAATAAGGGAGAGAGTTTTAGAAAGACTTTTCTTGAACTGATAGGTCTTTTCTTGTATATGCAAAAGTAAATATGAGGGACAGGGTAGAGATGTGTTTGAAGATATGATTTTTATTAATTTTAATAAAAATAGATTAATAGTTAAAATTATATAAAATACTATCTTAATGTCTTATCCTTTAGGGCCGGGAAGAAGATCCACATGAAGGCAAAATGTGAGTTTGTGTTAATTACTAAAAGAAAAAAGAAAATATGTTATAAACCTACAAATTAGAAAACTTAGGCCAAAATATATTTTAAAACTGCTACTTTTGGAGCTGTCTTAAAAGTTGTTTTTATTTGGCTCAGAACTGATATGTTAATATTTTCTTTAGGATCTACTGATAGTCTTATTTTTTAATAATGATGGTGTCTTTAATACCTGAATGTAACTCTTCTGTCGCTAAAGGCTTTTCTATAAACATTAATAACAGTATGAAGGTCACGATTCCTCATATTTTTTTTTTTACTTTCTTACTGATAATGCATTTTTTGTTTTTGTAACCACATCTTTTATGTATTTTATATTTCAGTTTTTCAGTTTTTTTTGTTTATTGTGTGTCTGTGTATGAGAAAGAGAGCTGTTCTCCAACATCAGGGCTTTTTTTTTTTTTTAAGATTTTATGTATTCATTTGACAGAAATAGAGCATAAGCAGGAGGAGCGGCAGGGAGAGGGAGAAGCAGACTCCCTGCTGAGCAGGGAACCTGATGCGGGGCTTGATACCAGGATCCTGAGATCATGACCTGAGCCAAAGGCAGACACTTAACCATCTGGGCCACCTTGGCTCCCCCCTCATTTATTTGTATATGAATTTTCTTCTGAAGATGTTAACTCTCAATCCCAAGTCTATTTCAGTCATATGATTTTAATAGAAACTGTTCATCTTCTGATCTCTTTTCACAGGAACATTTTTTTTCTTCCCTTCCTGTCAGAATTTACTAATGGAATTTAAGGCTCTCCTTTCAAGTAGTTGCTTATTCTGTTTCTAACCATTAGAAGACAAAAACATTAAGCTGGATACTCTGCTTGCAGTAAACCTCCTTTAGTTCCCCACCCTTCCTTAGGTGGAACACATGAGATGTTTTCTGAGTCCATTTTCCTTATTGTTTTGTGTAGCTGTTTAACTGTAAAATAGTCTCCATGAGTGAGACTGTACCTTGTTGATTTTAGTAATGTGAGGTCTTCCTGCTACCTATATTTAGATTACGAATTCTGATGAATGTGTGGAGGAGGTATACCGATAATGTAAGCAAATGGAGTGGGTTAGGTGTAAATGCTGTTTTTCTCAAATTACGATAATCTTGATCTTCCTAATTTTACCCCTTTGAAGGAGATTAAGGTACACGGAACTATTTTCCTATAGTACAAACAACAGTGCAAAGTGTTGGGATAAATGTCAACTAATATTCTCTCTTTGTATTAGAGAGTAGGACGCCAAAAATGAGAAGTTGTTTGCCTGCAGTGAGGGGACTGCTGTAATTGATGTGTGCAAAAATGGGGGTCCAGTGTTGTGAAAGCCTCCAGATTTATAAGATACACTGCAAATCTGTATTTTTACCTACTTAAAATAATACCACAGATTTATTTTTAAAAGGAAAGAAAAAAAATGTAGGTCAAATGCCAGTAATACTTCAAATGCGTAATACTGTTTTTTGCCTTTGCCCAAACTACTTTCTTTTTTCTTTTCTTTTTTTTTTTTTTAAAGATTTTATTTATTTATTTGTCAGAGAGAGAGAGAGGGAGAGAGAGCAAGCACAGGCAGACAGAATGGCAGGCAGAGGCAGAGGGAGAAGCAGGCTCCCTGATGAGCAAGGAGCCCGATGTGGGACTCGATCCCAGGACGCTGGGATCATGACCTGAGCCGAAGGCAGCTGCTTAACCAACTGAGCCACCCAGGCGGCCCCCAAACTACTTTCTAGGCCAGAATTCATCATGCATTATGTTTGGTTAATTTCTGTTCTTAATGACCTAACTCATTTATCACTGCCAAGAAGTATTCCTTTATCTTTTCCCTCACGTGTTCCACAGAACTGGTACCCTTCTCTTTTATTCAAAAAAAGCCCTCTGTGCATATCTATCAGTGCACTTTATTATATTTTTGACATTGATTTTGTGGTTATACGTATGTGTGTCCCTTTTTCTTATTGGAGTAGGGACTTCATAAGAGCAGATACTTCCCTTTGTGTCACTGGTATACACCATGTGTTTGAAGAAACACTTTGGCTATTTAGGTGTTATGTGGTTCCATAAAAACTCTAGGATTGTTCTAGCTCTGTGAAAAATGCTAATGGTATTTTGATGTGGGTTGCATTGAATCTGTAGATTACTTTGGGTAGTATGGACATTTTAACATTTGCTCTTCCAATCCATGAACATGGAATATCTTTCAGTTTGTTTGCCTCATCTTCAGTTTCTTCATTGTTTTTTAATGCATTTTGGAATACAAGTCTTTTACCTCTTTGGTTAAGTTTATTCATAGGTATTTTGTTAATTTTGGTACAGTTGTAAATGGGATCGTTTTCTTAATTTCTCTTTATCTTACTTTTTATTGGTGTATAGACATGCAGTTGATTTCCCTATATTGATTTTGTATTCTGTGACCTTACGGAATTCATTTGTCAGTTCTGTAGTTTTTTTGGTGGAGTCTTTAGGGTTTTTCATATAGTAGCATGCCATCTGCAAATATAGTGAGTTTTACTTCTTCCTTACCAATTTGGATGCCTTTTATTTATTTTTCTTGTCTGATTGCTACAGTTAGGACATCCGGTACTCTGTTGAATAAAAGTGATAAGAGTAGACATCCTTGTGTTGTTACTGATCTTAAGGTAAAAGCTTTTAGTTTGTCACTATTGAGTATGATATTTCCATGTATGGCCTTTATTATGTTGAGTTGCATCTCCTCCTGAACCTACTTTGTTGAGCGTTTTTATCATGAATGGATGTTGTAGTTTGTGAAATGCTTTTTATGCATTTATTAAGATGACCATATGGTTTTTATTGTTTCTCTTATTACTCTGATGTATCATGTTGATTGATTTGCAAATATTGAACCATACCGGCATTCCTGTAATAAATCCAACTTAGGGTGAATGATTTTTTGATGTATTGTTAAATTCGGTTTGCTAGTGTTATGTTGAGGATTTTTACATCTGTCTTTATGAGGGATATTGGCCTGTAGTTTTGGGGGGTGTTTTGTAGTGCTTTTGTCTGGTTTTCTTACCAAGGTAATCCTGGTGTTACAGAGTGAATTTGGAAGTTTTCCTTCCTCTTCAGTCTTTTGGAATAGTTTGAGAAGAATTAATGGTATTAACAGTTAATTAATTTAAATTAAAGGTATTAAAGGTATTGAGAATTAAAGGTATTAACATTTTCTTTAAATGTTTGGTAGACAGGGGCACTTGGGTGGCTCAGTTAAGTGTCTTCCTTCAGCTCAGGTCATGATCCCAGGGTCCTGGCATCAGGCCCTACATCATACTCCCTGCTTAGGGGAGTGTCCCCCCCCCACCCCCCGCCATCCCCACACAGTGCGCATGCATTCTCTCTCTCTCTCTCAAATAAATAAATAAAATCTTTTAAAAAAGTGTTTAGTAGACAGAATTCACCTGTGAAGCCATCTGGTCCTGAACTTTTGTTTGTTGGGAGTTCATTGCTTACTGATTCAGTGTCATTTCTTTTTTTTATTTTTTTTTATTTTTTTATTTGAGAGAGAGACAGAGTGAGAGAGCATGAGAGGGGAGGTCAGAGGGAGAAGCAGACTGCCCATGGAGCTGGGAGCCCAATGTGGAACTCAATCCCAGGACTTCAGGATCATGACCTGAGCTCAAGGCAGTCGCTTAACCAACTGAGCCACCCAGGCACCCTTCAGTGTCATTTCTAATAATCAGTCTATTCAGATTTTCTGTTCTTCCTGATTCAGTTTTGGAAGGTTGCATGTTTCTAGGAGTTCATCCATTTCTTCAGGGTTGTCCAATTTGTTTCCATACAATTTTTCATAGTATTCTCTTAAAAGCTTTTGTATTTCTGTTTGTTGGTTGTTACTTCTCGTCCTTCATTTCCGAGTGTATTTATTTGAGTCCTGTGTTTGTTTTTTCTTTATGAATCTGTCTAAGAACCAGTTCCTGGTTTCATTGATCTTTTCTATTTTTTTTTTCTTACTTTCTTTTAAGTTTCTATTTCATTTACTTCTACAGTAATCTTACTATTTCTTTCTACTGGCTTCGGGCTTTGTTTATTCTTCTGTTCTAGCTCCTTTGGGTGTTAAGATTTGGTTGTTATTTGAGATTTTTCTTATTTCTTGAGGTAGGCCTGTATTGCTCTAAACTTCCCTCTAAAGCATCTTTTGCTTCATCCCAAAGATTTGGACTGTTTTCATTTTCATTTGTCTCATGTATTTTTTTATTTCCTCTTTGAATCTTGGTTGACCCATTCACTGTTTAGTAGCATGTTGTTTTCTCAGGATTGATTTCTAGTTTCATACTGTTGTGGGCAGAAAAGGTGCATGATATGATTTCAGTCTTTTTGAATGTCTAAGTTTTTTTGTGGGCTAATGTAATTTATCCTGGGAGATGTTCCAGGTGCACTTGCAAAGAATGTGTATTCATGGTTCTGGGATGCAGTGTTCTGAATATATATCTATCTATCCCATTTAGTGTAACGTGTCATTCAAAATCACTTTTTCCTTGTTGATTTTCTGTCTGGATGATCCATCCATTGATGTAAGTGGGGTGTTTAAGTCTCCTACTGTTACTGTATTACTGTCAGTTTCTCCCATTCTGTCTGTTAATAGCTGCTCTGTGTATTTAGGTGCTCCCATGTTGGATGCGTAGATATTTGTAATTATATATCCTCTTCTTGGATTGTTCCTCTTAGCATTTTATAATGTCAGTCTTTTCTCTTGTCACAGTCTTTGTTTTAAAGCTATTTGTCTGATATAAGTACTGCTACCCTAGCTTTCTTTTCACTTCCGTTTGCCTGGTAAATGTTTTCTTGTGCCTTCACTTTCAGTCCGCATGTGTCTTTAGATCTGAAGTGAGTCTCTTGTAGGTGGCATATAGCTGGGTCTTGCTTTTTTTTTTTTTTTTTTTTTTTTTTTTTGGGTTTAGTTTTAGTCTTGCAGTATTTTTACTAAGTTGTTTTTTAAGCCACGATCAAAACTAAGAATAGATCCCAGGAATTTGTGGCGAAGTGATAGAGGGATGATCTGGAATTACCAGCTTGGCATTAAGAGGTGTTAATCAGCAAGATAGATAATAGTCCTTCACGTAAATGAGAGGAGATTTTAAGAAATTTAATTACTAGTAATTTTTGAAATCAGGTGTGTCATTTTATTCTAAGGTTAAATTTAAATACTTTAGTTATTATATGCAGTGGATCTTGAATATAATGCCACTTACAATAATTTCTGAATGCTTATTTAAAGTATATAGAAACTAAAACATATATAGCCATCTAATTTGTTATGGCAGTAGCTCAAATCTAATTAGGAATACTAAGTCATTCTTTTATTTCAGTCCTTGATGCTGACATCTACTCTCTGTCATCACTCAATCTCACTTTCTGACTTTAAGAAAAATATTAATCAGCCATGTCTATTTTCTTTCAAGAGAGAACTTACCTCCTGTTATAGGGAAAGTTCACGTGGAGGGTAATGTGAGGAAAACTCATTTACTAATTTTTTTTTTTTTTCCTGGATAATTCTGTTGTGGGTTCTACCTGTACCATCTCTCCCTCCTAATGCAAAGAAAAGAGAACACTAGTTATGGTATAAACATGTAACAGTTTCTCATTATCAGAATTAAAATCATTACTGGTACTGTTCATTAATATGGATATTATAGTTCATATTAGACCCTTATTTTACTATATTTTGAAATTATGTATGTTTACAAATATAATAACAAATGTAAAAGGAATGAGATAACTTGATCAGTTGTATTTGTTTTTATTTCATTGTATCAGTGTGAATTAAACTTGTGCTGGTTGTTTAGTTTTGATTGTATAACAGCAAAAAGGACTTCAGATTTACATATTTAATTTGTTCTCTTTTTAAGATGGTTCCATGGGAAAATTTCCAAACAAGAAGCTTATAATTTACTAATGACAGGTACTTGCATATTCACTCTTTGTTTTAAAACTGACCATTTATCATCCATTTTGTCTTTAGCACTCATTTGATATTTAAACATACACAGAGGAAAGACAAGATATTTTGGTGTTAAGAGTCATTGCCAGTTGAAGATACTTAAAAGGCTTCTTTAAAATTAGTCTGAAAATCTTTAACACATGATAATTTGACTTTTCAGGTTCTTACCTACTAAATGAAAGGTAGTATACATATATTGATTTTGATAAGGTGAACGCATATTTCATTTTTTGAATCTACCTTTATAAGCATTGGTACTATTTTATTACAGTTATTTAATGTTTAATCAGAAGCATTGATTAACTGCAGAGTACTCCTAAAAAAAATTAACTTTTTTAGACTCTTCTTATTAAGAGGTTTTACAAATAGAATGTACCCATTTAGCCAGTGTCCTCTACCTGTGGTTAGGTTATTCTTTTGAAGTCATGACAGGTATAACATTATTAACCAGAAATCACTGCTGCAGATTTATTTTTATGTAATACACACATGCAACGTTTGGGTGGTTGTGACTCATAAACTAGAAAATATAAAAATGTATTAAAATTGTCTTTATTATAAAACAAGTTCCTGGTGAAAACTTACATATGTTTATAACTTCCAAATGTACTTTATAATTGTTACTTAACACAATTTTTTTTTATTTGGTAATTAGGAAATAAAACTAACAGCTTAATTTTTACAGTTGGCCAAGTATGCAGTTTTCTTGTGAGGCCCTCAGATAATACTCCTGGTGACTATTCACTTTACTTTCGGACCAATGAAAATATTCAGCGATTTAAAATTTGTCCAACACCAAATAATCAGTTTATGATGGGAGGCCGATATTATAACAGGTAAGTTGTGAGAAATTTTAGTTATCTTTTACTTTTAGCAAAAATAATTGAAACTTCAATAACATAGTGTTATCAGATTCAAAACTGTATAAAAGTGTCTGACTTTTTAGAATTTAAAATAAGGCCTTTAATGTAATTTAGTAGTAGTCATGTCCAAGGATTCTCAAACAGTGTCAAAAATGAATATAAATTAAAAAGTTATAATTTGTTTTCCTTCAAGATAATTTATATGTTTGTTGATTATGTATGGACTGTTTTTATACTAAATTTGCTAAGTCCTTAACTGTAGGGTAACAAAACATTTGTTCTAAGAAAAAGAATATATTACATTCTTTTATTAGTGAGACATTTTACTTTATTTTTTTTAAAGATTTTATTTATTTCACACAGAGAGTACAAGAAGGGGGAGCATCAGGCTCCCCCTGGTAGACTGGGGAGGTAGACTGGGGAGCCCAGTGTGGGGCTCAATCCCAGAACCCTTAAGCTGGCATGCTTAACCGCCTAAGCCACCCAGGTGCCCCAGGACATTTTAATAGGAAGAAAAAGTTCTTAAAGATTAAAGAGAGACTTTACTACAAATGTTACCCATGTAACTGGGTTGTTCTCAAGTCGATATTTCTTGGTTCTAATTATTGGTTCCTACTTCTCATTTTAAAAATTATAGTAAATTCATTGCTTATCCCAAAGCTCAGAATGAACTTTAGTCACTGGAGCAGGAAAATGAGTCAATAGAGAAACCATATGATAGAATCTCAGCTTTTTTTTTTTTCCCCCCTGTATATTAAGAAAGAAATCTTATATTTTTGTTTTTCCTAATGTAAAGAATTCCCCGTATTAGCTAACTCTAGAGTGGCCTTGTCTTCCTCTTTTGGAGGCTTTCATAAACTAAAATGATGGCATTTGCCTAGTTTAATCTCTTAATACCACAGCAATATTCTCCATCCCATTTAGTATTTCTCTTAATTCCAGCTTGACTTTTGAGGGTATAGAGATCCAGCAGCTGTTTTATCTTAGAAAACAAACAAAAAAACAAGTTGTAGTTGCTTGCCAGAAGGCCCATGAACAGTTAAGAGACATCAAGTGGCAGATGTGAGTCTCGACATTTGGATCCTTTTGCACACGTATACAGAAAAGCTGCTTGAGTGGTTTCTATATTAATAGTACAATCTAGACATCTTCACTAGCTAGCTAGCTGCAATTTAAGCTCTTTATGAAGGTAAATTACTTTTTCCCATTTTCCAGTTTTCTAGTGGTTTGGAATATATAAAACTAAATTGAAAACATATATTCTTAACTGAATTGATAAATGTCTATCTGGAAACTTTTTAAAATATAAAATAATTTACATAGATTTATTTTCAGTGAGGTTTGTTTACTGACTTAAACTTCCTTAGGATATGCATTCTGCAAGATGAAAATTCTTCCTACATAATGGAAGCAGTCTGTAAAATATGTAAAGGTTGGCTTTTTTATTGATAAAGACCAGAATGAAGCAAGAAGAAAGAAGTATTTGAAATATATTTCTTTCTAAATTATGAGTCTGCTTACAAAATGATGACTTAAAAAATTTTAAATACATGTTAATTTAGTGGCTGTGATCAATAACCCTAACATCCCAATTTTTTCTTTAAAAAAAAAAATTTATTTTTTTATTTTAGGGAGGAAGTGATTGAAAGAGCATGTGTGAGTCGGGGGAGGAGCGCAGGGAAAGAATCTTTCAAGCAGAACGCCCCCCCCCCCCCCCCCCCGAGCGTGAGGACCGATGTGGGGCTTGATCTCACAACCCATGAGATCATAACTTGAGCTGAAACCAAGAGTCTGCTGAGCCACCCACGTGGTCCCCCACCCACAAATTTTCTTTATAGATATGTTCATTTGATAAAGTTCAGGAGTATTGTTATTCCTAGCATATAATACTAACTTTTTTTTTACCCCAAAGAAAGCTAGAATTATGTAAATCTGATGCCTGGAAAAAGGCAGTTTTACAGTTTGGGAATATATATTTCAGCATGGAAATATATTCTTTTACAGCATTAGTGTTAGTAATAAAGTAAATCTTAGAAGATAAACCTTTGTGGGGTGTTTGGCTGACTCAGTTAAGAAGAGCATGTGACTCTTGATCTCAGGGTTGTGAGTTGAAGTCTCATGTTGAGTGTAGAGATTACTAAGAAAAAATAAATGGACTTAAAAAGATACACCTTTGTGCTTATCACTTACTGTTTAGATATTTAAATGTTAAGTTGGATTATCCAGTAAATGTATGTACAGAGACATACTGTGCTGTCTTTTCTTCCCACTAATTCTACATTAGTCTTTTGGTAAAGAGAGGTAGCACTCAAGTCTGTTCATTTAGAAACTGCTTTTTTGAGACATAACTTTAACATTCCTATATTAAAACTTTTACAAAAAGCAGGAGAAGCATTTAACAGCAAGTATAATTCAGCAAACATTTATTAACTAATTTACTTTTTGAAATATATTGTACAGACCCCATGCATATACATTTAAGAGAAAGGTCTATGAGGTACAGGTCTATGAGAACAGATGGTTGGCTGACCTTGATGAGTTCAGGACTGTATACGTGGACATGGGAGACTCAGTGGAAAGAGAGCAGTTGAGATAGTGATGAGAAGGGAGAGGGACGAAGGATTTTGGTCAGACCTTGAAGATTACTAACATTTATCTAGCAGGTTCAAGGAGAGACATGGTTTTATTTATTAAGTAAATTACTAAAATGAAAGTGTAGTAGTGAACATGTTTTAGTTTTCTGAGAGGTAAATATGTCATTTCCTACCTAAAACTTGCATGGAATATCTAGGAAATTCTGGGTTGTTGTGTCTCCCTTGACTGTTTCTTTAGGTGTATCTGAGTAGAATATGAACTAAAGTAATTAAAAAAAAAAAAAAGGCATCTTGAAAGTCCAGCTCATTGGTAAAAATATATTTGATTGGTTGTCACAGACTTTTTAAATTTGTTCTTGGGCAGTCTGAACTGTGTATTCTTTCAGCTCATGGACAAGAATTATATTGTAATGCTGAGATGCTCCACAAGATCAATTGCATTTTATAGTTACTGAGTCAGAAACCTTTGATATTTACTGTTTTTTATGGATTTGATGCTTTTTGCTTTAAAACAAATAGTCATCTCTGTGATGGTATCTGTCTTCAAATGTCTTTTCTGATTTCCTGTTTTTCTTTAATATTTTTGGATTTATATGTGGCATTACCTTATTCCTTTAAACACTTACAACCCTCATTGTCTTTTTTGATGTGAATACTTTTTGATTTGTCTTGTTTTGCCCCCTTGTGTAAAATGCTGCCTCTGGTATGCAGTTCATATCCATTCATACTTATTTTTTCATTAATCTTTTCAAGTCTCCTATTTTGCTATTTTTAACATTATATTTGCTTTAAATTAATTTTGTACTATGGCAAAGGCATTTTATCTTTGGAGACATATATATGTGCATATATATGTGCATATATATGTGTGTATCTTTGGAGAGGGGGTGTGCATATGTATATATACACATATGTATCTCTAGAGATAAAATATATATTTCAATTCCATGAGTAGAAGAACTGTGGAAAAAATCAAGTGGAAGATTAAACAAGATCTGTTTTGAGAAATGTTTTCTCTCTGTCCCTAAAATAGCCATTCCTCCACTATATTAAAGGAAGTTTAAAAGTGTAAGATTTAAATATTCAGGACAATAAAATGGCCTACAGAAACACTTTTACATTGGAAAATTCATTATGCCGTGCTATAATACATGTTAAATTACATTATATAATGTCATTTTATTTTCTGTTTTACTAGTAAAATTTCCCAGATAGTAAGAATATTTTAATAGCATTGCTTTTCAAAATCATCAATAAGCCTTCCCTGTGGTAGCTATAATCTTACATGTAAAATTAGCTCCTGGTCTGTTTGTTTCTCCTTTTACTTGCTGTTAATGTTTTATGATCTAACTTCATCTGATTGTTACGAAAGAAAATGTGTGTTTTGTGATAAAAATTCTTAAAATCTACCTGAACATGCTATATACATGCCATTTTTCTTTCAGTTCTTTCTCAATTCCTCAGAAATACTCTTAAAAAAAAAAAGGTAGACTTTTATTCTTTTCTTACTTATACTGACTCTTTGGGTATGTGTATACAAAATTGTAGTCTCTGACTCAGGTATTCTGATCTGTAAATGAATTCTTGCTTTTCTAAAATAATCAGACTGTTGTAATCATATATACTATTGATGTATTTGGGTTATATGCTTTGGAAAACACTTGCAAATACATAATTCTTGCTAACAGGGTCTTTGTGTATTTTCAAGATTTGCATTTTTTATGAGACAAATTATATCAATGTTAGTAATTTTTATTTTAACAGCATTGGGGACATCATAGATCACTATCGAAAAGAACAAATTGTTGAAGGGTATTATCTTAAGGAACCTGTACCAATGCAGGTCAGTGTTGTTTTTCTTTTTGCAGTAATAAGCATTTTATTTTAAAATGCATTTTTGGTGGTATGTTTTATGCACACATTCATGGATTTAAAATTGGATAAAATTTAAAACTGCCATTACTCAGATTCTTTCAGAAAGTAAATTGTAAGAGAAACACTTAGTTTTTATTTATGTTGTTTCTAGCTTCTGTGGCTTTTTGAGAATAGAAGGAGCGGTGGGGCAGAAGCCATGTTACTTTGGGTCAGGGAGTGAGCTTGTTGGAGGCAAAAATGGAGACAGCAAGGATCAATCACAGCTGGACTTACGTAGGTGAGCTTGGTAGATAAAATAAAAATGAAATCCAGAAGAAGATACAGGGCTGAGGGGGGTTTAAACTTTTTATTTCATTGTTTATTTGGCTATAGGTTTATGGTTGAGAGAGTTTTGTGCATGTCTGTATATTCTGCATTAAGCCACTAGTAGCGAGCAGAGTGACAGTGGTGGGTGAGATGGGGTAGTGGCAGTACTTGATGTACACGGCCCTAGGGAAGACAAGAGTAGTTAAAATCCCCAATATATGAAGAAGGATGGGTCTTGAGCAAGGGGGGCTCTTGAATCTTAGCTGCTTAATGCATAGTGTGATTGCTTATTCTCTGTATTTCTTATACTTTCTGAAGAGTGGTGGGCAACATTTGTAGCAGAGGTTAGGAACAGGTGTTTCAAAAGAGTGATAAAGAATTTTCTATGTCGGAAATGGAGGTATTGATAGTCCAAGGACATAAAGAAGGTTTTGGGTGCCCAGCTACACTTCCATAGTGACTGGTTATGTCTGTAGCTTCTCAGTTTTTCCTCCTCCTAACAAGTTAGTTTCAGATGGTTGTACCTGCTATTCATAGCAGTTTCAGAGGTGGGGGATCATTATTCTGATGCTTAATATCAATTGAAGAATCTTGTCACACTTAATACAGCTTCATTTCCTCATCCTTGCTTGTAGAATGTGTGGTCCCCGAGAGCAGGGGTGTGTGTCCAGGGCCTGGAGTGATGTCTGGGTTACGGAATCAACGACTGTCTTCTTTCCAGCAGGACCTACTTCAACCCCTCTGTATTCTCACTGTGCCTGTTGCTCTCTCCATGTCCACCCTTTCCTCTGGCAAGCACTGCTAGTTTAAGATCCATTTCAAGTTTCAGTTTCTCCTTGACACTTTCCTAATAACCATAGTCAGCCCTGAAGTCTCGCTTTTGTTGGCAGTTCTGGCAGACATCGTTCACTGTTCTACTTAGTGCATATTAGAACGAACTTTTTATTTAAAAAGATGTTATTTTTTTATTTGACAGTGGTGGTGGGGAGCATAAGCAGGGAGAGTGGCAGCCAGAGGGAGAGGGAGAAACAGAATCCCTGCTGAGCAGGAAGCCTGATGCAGGGCTTGATCCCAGGATGCTGGGATCATGTATTCCACCCCCCCCACCCCGCCCCGGGCTTTTTTCTTTTAATCACATAGTGTGGTACATGTTTTCTAGAAGCATTGCTCAGGGTCTTTTTATTAGGGGTGGGAGGTGCCTTTACCCACCACCTATAGTTCTACTGCTATATCCTGAATTCTAATTCACATTGGCTTTTGTTGATTTTGTTTCAGAAGTCTACACATTTTATTTGTTTACAAATTAAGTCATACATTTTCCCATCTTGAAATTATGCTTAGAATTTTTAATTTAAGGTTTTTAAGAAAAACTTACCTTTTAGAATAAAAACTCTTAGCACAGTAAGTGGTATTTGACATTTAAACTTTCATACTTAAGTTACAAGGTTTTTTAAGAAGTACTTCAAATACATAGTCTGCCGCACTCCCATGTTGCAGTTTCATAACTCAGCAAACCCCAAATTGTTGTCATTTGCAAAAGTGCCAACTAATGCCTTAAATACTTCAGAAATACTGATGCCAATTAGAAAGCAATTTGATTACTACATAAAAACCATTAAATCTATTTCAAGTCTATTAATTAGGGCCTGGCATAAAAAAGTAGGTTACCATAGGAGTTTGGGAATCCTAATACTTACCTATCCTTCCCAGCAGGATACTAGTACAGAAAAGAAAGTATAATAATAACCTTTTATTAATGGAAAAACTTATTAGCTCACTCCCCCTGGGGTGACTCTGCATACCCTCACTCAGAGTAGGATGCTGGAATGGAAAGAGCAGTCCTAGGTACTTCCTTTGTCCTAGGTGCTTACTTTGTAGAGCTAATCCTTCTCAAGACAGACATTAGAAGAGAAAGAGCCTTTTGAGACAATGCAGCCCACAATAAAATAGGCAACATTTTTTAAGCACTGTGTTTTAGACACTGTTCTTACTAGTTTATTTAATTTTCAACAACTTGATGAGGTTTCTACTGTATAATAGGGAAATTGAGACTGGAGGGGGTAATGACTTAGGGCATCAAGTCATCCTTGACTCTTCTTTCTCTCCCTCCTATGCTTTGTATCCATGCTGTTGGGAACATCATACTGCCTCTGCCTTCCAAACAAATGTAGCACGTGACCACCGTCAGAATCTGACTTTGGTCTACCTCTTTCCACCTTTGCCCCTTATGCTGCACAACAGCAGTCTGAGGGATCCATTTGAAATGTAAGTCAGATCATTTCATTCCTCTCTTTAATACTTGCACCTGTTCTACATTTCATTCAGAGTGAAAGCCAAAGTCCTTACAGAGGCCTCTCAAACCATAGATGTCATCTCATTGGTCCTCTGAACTCCTCTTTCTACCATCCTTCTCTCTCATTTGTCTCCACTCATACTGGCTTCTCTGCTGTTTTTTGTTTTGTTTTGTTTTTTAAACATGCCAGTTTCTCTCATGCTTTAGGATCTTTGCTTTACCTGTTGACTCTGCCCAAAATGATTTTTTTTCTTCTATATCCACTTGTCTCATTCTCTTACTTCTTATGCTTCACAATGAGATTGACCCTTATACCTTATTTAATAGTGCTACTTGCCCTACCCTGTAAAGCACTTACCATTTCTTAATATACAGTATGATTTATGTATTATATTTATTATCTTTCCCTCATTAGAATGTAAGTTCTTTGAGGATACGGATCTTTGATTTGCACATTGATGTTATCTCCAGAACTAGTACAGACCCTGGCACTCAACATATTATTGAGTTAAATGGGTAGAGTAGGCCCTAAAGCCTTCCCTTTGTCATCCAGTGATTTAGTGGAGTTTGGAAAGTGAAGTTCTGTCCTTGGCCATAGTTTCTTCTAATATATTGGAATCCTTTAGAGGTTGTAGGTAAGTATATTAGCCCCTACTCTAATATATATAATTTAGAAAAGAGCTTTGGAGATCATCCTGAAATCAGATATTTAAATCCAGATATTAGTGTAGTTGTGTATTAAATAACAGACCACAAATATGCCCCATTCTGTAGCCAATACTAAATATTATCATCATTATTATTTTTAAAGATTTTATTTATTTGAGAGAGTGAGAGAGAGCATGAGCTGGGGGAAGACGGAGGGAGAGGGAGAGGCAGACTCCCTGCTGAGTAGGGAGCCCAGTATGGGATTATGACCTGAGCTGAAGGGAGACGCTTAACTGAGCTACCCAGGCGCCCCTAAATATTATCATTATTGAATAAAAGACTGGTAAGTACAAATCTATGTAACCAGGAAAGTAGTCAGTTTACTGTTTATCATCTGGGTCCAGTGTATCCTTTTAAATTTTTTATTCTTCAGCCTTTTTATGAATAATCCTTAGAAGTAGGAATAAAGGTATAGTCCAAAAAAGGCTATTGGAAAATTTAATAAGAATTTAAACATAGCAAACTCAAATGTTTTCCCATATTTCCTTGGTTATAAAGGCTTGAAATAAGCAGTTGTTAATCCACTGTCATGCATGGACCTGGAATATACCATTTTGTAAATCCTAATTCCAGATTTCTGATACATCTCTAATTAATTCTTGCTGTATAATTACTCTGGTTATTCTTCCCACACTTTCATTATCAGAATACAACAGTGATTCCAGATGTAAATATCTCTCCACTGCGTTTTAGTTTATGATTCTTGATAATTTTGAAAACTTGGATGGCTTATTATTTTTTTAGGAGAGTACCGTCTTCTTTGCTTCATGAGGGTAAAATATTTTTCTGTGTGGATTTTTAAACATCAGTTACAGTGATAAATGTGAATTTTGAAATTTCTATGTTTCCTTCTACAACCTTTGAATACAAAGTACCTTTTGTCCACTTACAGATCATATTAAGTGAATCTTGGTGCACAAACATAAAAATTTAAAGAACCCTTATTTCTTTTTAGCAAAACAGGACAGCCTAGATTCTTACCACAAAATATTGCATGATGACATCCTTGCTATTAAATGACTGACTAGACAGAAACACAATACATATTTCCTCTCCCCACCCCCCACCACTAGAAATACATCGTTTACTCAGTATTTCTTGAGTTTGAGGGAAGTCTAAGGATACTGTCATTTGAAGAATTGCAGTCTGAGATTTTTGCTCATCAAAAATGAATTTTACCATCACAGTAGATCACAAAGTGCTGCTGCCTCTTTGTATTCATCTTTTGATTCTTTTAATAATTGTCAAACATCTTCTATGTCAATTTTTTTCTCTTTGCTATTAGTGGAAAATCAAAGGTTCTGGGCTCTGCTCAATGAAAACTAATAAAAAGATAACAGGTGGGCTTTTTACACTTTTTTGAAAGATGCTGCAACACTTGGTAACACAGTTAAAAAAAACCAAACACAAACCAACAAAGTGTGATGCAGTGGAGCTAGTGTATTTCACTCTTGCATCATCCTATAAGTTAATGGTTGGCAAACTTTTCTTTTAAGGGCAAGATAATAAATATTTTAGGGTTTGCAGGCCTCCAGTCTCCATCTCAGCTGCTGAGCTCTGCCTTTGTACTGAGAAGGCAACCACAGACAAAACATAAAGCAATAAGTGTGGGTTTTCGATTAAACTTTATGTCCAACACCAGGCAGTAGGCTAGATTTGGCACCTGCACCATGGCTTGCCCACCCCTGCTCTTTAGCATACTTGAGAAGTAATTATTGAATAATGATGAAAATTGTTCCTAGGATGATGAAATAACAGAATGTTTTAAGATAGAGGAAAAAATACGATTTTTGAAAATCTCATATCTTAGATTTATAAGAGGATCAGATGGACGTATGAAGTCTCTAAGAAAACAGTCCTAAAATATTAATCCTAGCAAATAGTAAGAACTGCTGAAAAAAGAAACTAGGAAACTGAAATTGAATCCAGCGGATCCCAGTGGTAATACCGATGACTGATTTATTTTGGAGAGATCATTATGAAGATACTTTTCTCTGTAGATTCTTCCTGACATCAGAATTCTTTTTGTTACTTGGGAGGATTTAGCAGTTAAGAGACACGTGTCCATTCCTAAAAGTAGAGTTACATAAAACCATGGAATAAAGACCGCAATGTTATGGGAAGGTAAGGTTAGGGGTACAACACTCAAGAACCTCATCAGTAACATATAAAGATAAGAACCTAATAAAATGTAGCCTAGTTTTTATATGTATTAAATGCTTAAGAAATCTTTAACTACTACAATAAATACGGGCCTTGACCTTGAAAAAGACCTGAAGTTTACCTGTCAAAGAGGCTATCAGAAGGGTTGTGATTATTGTAAAGTGGTAGAAGGAGTATTTGAAATCAGATGGTATTGTAACACCCTGTGTGGATGGATGGGTGGGTGTGGCATATAACAGTTAGTGGGTGGAGAGGGTTGTGAGGTACTAGAGATGTGTTTTGTATATTCCTTTGCATCTCATATCAGCTGCGTGCAATTTTCTGCATTCACCTAGTGCTTCTCACAGACACAACTGTGCCTAAGCAAATAGGAATTGGTTTTATGTTTGAACTGGTTCCCAGTTTATCAGTTCTCTTGGGACCAATTCATGTTGTCCATGTTATTTGCTATAACACAACAAGGCAACATAACAAAACTGTATTTTTGAGACTTTCTTTGAAAAGCAAAGGATCTCTTAATATACATATTTCAGAATTTAGCCTTAAAAACTTTATTTAAATGTTTTAGACACACAACCTGGCTTTTAATTGGTAATTTAGATTTTATTTCCATCAAGAATTCATGAAATAATTTTAATATTTTTAAAAATTCAGGATCAAGAACAAGTACTCAATGATACAGTGGATGGCAAGGAAATTTATAATACAATTCGTCGAAAAACAAAGGATGCGTTTTATAAAAATATTGTTAAAAAAGGTTATCTTCTAAAAAAGGGTAAGTATTAACTTGAAAGATTCAATTTCAGTATTTTCCACTAATAGTTAGTAATTGACCCTTGTTTAAAGCTTTTGTAGCTAAGCATCCTTCAAAATCTAGTCTAGGATAAAGAAGATGTGTATATATATATACACACACACGTACACATATGCACACACACAGTGGAATACTGCTCAGCCATCAAAAAATGAAATCTTGCCATTTGCAACAATGTGGATGGAACTAGAGGGTATTATGCTAAGCAAAATATATCAAAGATAATTATATATGATCTATTTCATGTGTGGAATTTAAGGAACAAAACAGAGGATCATAGAAGAAGAGAGGAAAAAACAAAGCAAGATGAAATCAGAGAGGGAGACAAACCATAAGAGACTCTTACTCATAGGAAACAAACAGGGTTGCTGGGAAGGAGAGACGCGGTGGGGACGGGGTAATTGGGTGATGGACATTAAGGAGGGCACGTGATGTAATGAGCACTGGGTATTATATAAGATTGATGAGTCAATAACCTCTGCCTCTGAAACTAATACATGTTAATGAATTGAGTTTAAATTTTAAAAAATGCAGAGTCTGGGTATATTAAGCCCACATTTTCAAGCAGAGTTTAATGACACACGCTTACATATTTCCAAGTTTCTCTTTCATTCTTGAGGTCAGGTTATTTGATTCTTTGCCCACTCTCTCCCTGATACTTCATTATTACTATTTTTTTAAAAGACTTCTAATGACACTTGTCACATTATTGTTTAGATGTTTCTGTTGTATAGATTTGCCTCAGATTAACATTAAGAAATGATAGGAGGTCAGTTGGTAGGGTGTGGGGTAGAAGAGTATTTTCTTAAAATTAAAAAAGAATTACTCCTAAGCAAGAATTTTAAAGATTTTATCTTGATGAAACTTGAAAAGATACAGTTACGGTACTGCTGTCATTTACTCTGTGATTCACTAAAACAAGCAGTGTAACAAAAGGCACTTTTTTACAGATAAATATGATAGGCATTTTCTCATTTTGTAAGGACTGGTATGTTACTGAAGCTTTGGAATAAAAAGGAAATACGATTTTTATTTTCAGTAACAGCAATTTGTGTGTGTGTGTGTGTGTGTGTACACACACACGCAAACATGGCTTTATAGTTTATTATTTGGCTAATGGAAAGCACCCTTTTTTATTTTTTCACAGGCAAAGGAAAACGGTGGAAAAACTTATATTTTATCTTAGAGGGCAGTGATGCCCAACTTATTTATTTTGAAAGTGAAAAACGAGCTACCAAACCAAAAGGATTAATAGATCTCAGTGTATGTTCTGTCTATGTTGTTCATGATAGTCTCTTTGGCAGGTAAGAAATTGGTTTCCTATTTCTTTTGGAATTGTTTTAGTAATAAAATAGTGTGGATATGTTCAGATCATTTTTCAAAGCATAGCCAATGGATTTTTGAGAGTCCTAAAATCATCTGAAAATGTCAGATTTACTTTCTAGGGTAATATCTGTCTTCCTTATTTATTTTACACTAACCGGTGCATGAAATTCCACTTTGGTATTATATAGAAATCTTTGGAATGACATTTCCTGTAGTAAAACATGACCTGTATGTCGCATATTTCCTCTCTCCCTTACCAGCAGTCTTTTGAGTGACTGACTTTGAGTCTTGTCCTCTTTCCCGTTTTATCACATTCTCTCTTAATTCATTGCATCTGATAGTACTGAGTTCACTCAGTTGTATTACTAACTTGATAGGCAGGCTAACCCTTAAGAATTCTAATGTAAAAATAATTGCTTCAGTAGGAAAAAGGAGAGTGTTTCAGATTTGGAGTTGAAACATTTTTCTTACATTAATTTCGAAGTTTTTAAAAAATAAATATAAATGTATAAGCTAAAGGGGAATCCTGACTGTCACAAGACACATCCAACTCTTGATTACTTCTAATTTTTTTATCAGAAACAAGGCCTTTCATTACCTTTCACTGTCAGTATTATTAATAATCCATTCTAGAGTCTTTTTAGATAAATTGACCATTTTTATTACATATTGGTATTAATAAAACACAGATTTTTTTTTTTTTTTTTACACAACTGTTTCTCTGCCGCAGGATGGCATTTCTGCTAAGCAAATCCAGCTTTATCCTGTTTAAGTTCAGGAAACTTTAAAACAAATAGCTGAGGAACATACAACCTTGTCATTTCTTTTCTCCAGACTGTGTTTAGGACATCGCATTAGTGTTACTTGTAATTTTAATGGTCAGTTTTTTAAATGGTTATGGTTTTAGAAATGCTGAATTGAACACATAGTTTATCCTTAAAGCAGGACTTTTTGAATTTCTGCCAGTGTTTATATTCTGAATCACTAAGAGGGAATTATTATATGAAGTATTTCATGAACCTTTGAACTTGATAACTCTCCCCATCCCCCCCACCCTTTTTTTTTCAAACACTTCCTAATATCTCATAAAAAAAGCTGTTCCAAAAAACAAGCAAAAATTTTTTGGATAACATAGAATTTCCCAAATTTTGTTTTTCCTTCCTTAACAATATGAGACTCTTGGCCTCCGGGTGTGGTTAGATCAGACCTCTGGCTGCTTTTCATTTCATCTTTCTGTTCTGGCTGCCTTTGTGTTTACTGAATTATTCCTCACAAAACAGCTTCTTTCATGGTAGCAAAGTGGCATAAATACCCAGAGAAGGAAAAAGTAAGCATTGCCTCCAGTAATGATTAGAAATCCTGCGAATGCACTATCGAGCCACCTCTGAATCAATGTGTAGTTTTCCCTGAAGTAGCAAAGGTGGGGTTTCCTTCATAAATGTAGGCCATTGGGTGCCCAAGCCCTGTTGAAAATGATCCTACTGAAATAGTAAGGCTGCTTTGTACTCTCTGTACGAGAGGGAAATGGATGCTGGGGAGACAACCACACTATTCACCACCAAACATGGTTTATTTGTGCTTTGATTAGCTGCATAGGGAAGATTTTTGGGAACAAGCTATTGAATTAAGTAGTATGAAATAGGTGGTTCTTAAGTTGACTCTTGGAAGATGGGTATAAATTCATTTAGATAACTATATCAGAGCTTTCCTACCCCATGCCATGAATAGGTTATGGGTGTCTATTGAGATATTGGTGGTTATAAAAATGTTAGTATAATAAAAATATTAAATGTTTGAGATTTCAACATTTCATATTATAAAATATGCAAGGGAGTTCTTCAAAAAATGTAACTTCAGATTTTTTTTTAGATATGTAGATTTTTTCTTCCATTGTTACTTCTTTGATTGGCTTTAATGTATAGTTGTTTTTCTACCATCAAGGACAGTTTGGTGATTAAAGCTGGAAAGTCACTAAAATGACAAGATAAAAACAGTAACCTTCATTTTAAAAATTCAACCTATTAGGCCACTTAAGAAATGTATTGGGATAACTAAATCCAGTAAATCTTCTTTTCCTCAGCCTAAATATTTTGCATATAAGCTGAATAAATCAGTGATGCCATGCACATTGTGTCGGCACCATATCACTGAAGAACTAAGTTTTCAATAAAAGTCCCTCCACCCCCATATTCCCTTCCCAATCTCCTTTCCATAGATCTGTTCTTACAGTGTCAGATTCTGCTTGGGAAGTTTGTTAGGAGATCTTGGAATTAATAGCTAAAGCTAAAGCCAGAATGCTTCACACAGAGTTGGAGAATTTGCTTGTTTAATCAGTCTGCATGGAAATTGCCAATTGTATGTTTGAAGCCAAAAAGCAAAAGAAAGAGAAGAGGTACTATTTTCAAAGAGTATTAGATTGTGTTCAGATAGTACTATCAGTAAATGCATTGGTGAAACAAATGATAGGCTATGTACAGAGCCAGAGATTACATTTTCACTGTACACTGATGAATCTGCAAACATTAGAGAAGTACTTGGAAGTAAATTGTTGGTCATTCAAAGAAGTACCAAAAGAAATTATTAAAGTATTCAAAGCTGTAAATGAATCCTTTGAAACAAAGAAGATACTGTAGAAATCGTATTTAAGTTTATGATCAATGAAGAAGCTTCATGATAGAAAATTTAAAGGTTTTACATCAGAAATTCATTCTGGAAAATAAAGCAATACAGAGAGACCCTTACATGTAAAAGTCTGTAGACCAGAATTCCAAGTGAAATATTATAAAATAGAGTCTAATAAAATGCAAGCTGCTTCAGCTGCATGTTTTCAGTTTTATGGGAGAAAATGGGATCAGAATGCCACTGTACTGTTCTGTGATACCAGAGTCTGTAAGCCGTCCAAAAGAAGAGTTTTGCTGAAGTTTACAATCTAAATGAAAAAATACTGCTTGGCGATTGATTCATGCTTTGCAGATTAAAGAATGGGTGAACTTCTCAGAATTAGAACACAAAAATAGATTTATGTGCTCTGATAGTTTATAGATTCAAAGCAGAAATTCAGCTTTGAAAAATCAGGTTAAAAATGATTCCCTGGTGATATGTAAAATTTGAATAACAAGAATCTTAAAAGCATTATTAGGACTAATAAAAGTACATCTGGGTAAATTTGGGTGGGGGAAAAAGCTATAACATTATTTATGACATACTTTTTATGAATAGGCATGAGTGGACCAAAAATCAGTTTGCAGTATCACAAAGAAAGGTCAGTGTTACCCTAGCGAATGAAAGAAAATGACTGCTAGAGTTAAAGTTCAGGTCTTTTAATGTAGTTTAAAGAGACCAAAGTATTCCTATTATGGTTAATATCAAGAAAGGAGTTTCAGGCAGCAGAAAAGCAGTAAATGCACATTTACCATTTGCTATGGGAACACAGCTTGCTTCTTGGGTAGAGTTTCTTGTTGAAGGTGGCTTTTAAGACTCTGATATTGTATTTAATGATACCAAGTCTAAACCTGGTATGAAAAAGTTATGTTCATGGGAACTAAGGTACAAGTCTTTCGTTTTAAAGAACTGAGTTTTTTCCAAAGTATACTAGTTTACTGTCATCAGCTGTGTTTTTGACGGCCTTACTATGAAAGAGTTGGGGAGTACAAAGATAGAGCAGATACCAAGAAAAACAGCATCAGCAAAGTATGTTTCAAGGAAATGAACAGACACCTGTACCAGATAGGACTGGTGAAAAATAGGGTGGCATTAAATTATGTATCATAGAATGCAAATATCACAGTACAAATGGTGAAATTGTGGATGAGTGCAGTTATCTTTTTCTTTGAAATATATGACTGGCGCTGAATATTTCTTGCTTTGTGTATGCATAGAACCCAATACACTGACTGACCTGCATTTGAATGAAATGTTACGTGAAAGTTAACGACTCCTTGCAACAGAGGTGAATAGCATGCTTGCTCTGGCCACGGTGAACAAATGTTTGGATAGCTTTGCTCCTTTGCCTGTGTTCTTGAAGGCTTTAGTTGCGCAGCTATGCAGTTTTTTCAGATTTTCAGTATTGAGGTCGCTAAGCACTTTATTTCTTTATACTAAACTTCTGACTTTTAATATTGCTTTACTTTATGTATAATAATTTCAGAAGCACAGGTTGAAAGACTTTTCAGTGATAGTTACCGTAGTGAGTATTTGAATGTTTACATCTTTTCATGGGCTGAATCTTTCATTGAGGCAATATTTATTATCTTCATTTAGGAACAGTGTTTTCACTGGGTATTTTAGGTTGGCAATTATTTCTTCCAGTGTTTAAAGATTGATTGATTTATGAGCGAGAGACTGAGAAAATGAGTGGAGGGAGGGGCAGAGGAAGAAGCAGACTTTCCGCTGAGCAGGGAGCCCGATTCAGGGCTCCATCCCAGGACCGTGGATCATGACCCAAGCTTAAGGCAGATGCTTAACTGGCTGAGGCCACCCAGGCACCCTTCTTTCAGCATTTTAAAGAACGTTCTCTGCCTTCCAGTCTTTTTCTTTTGTTCTTGATTATTCTCTTTTACAGGTAATACGTCTTTTTTTTCTTCTTTGAGGTGTATTGTATTTCATCTTTCTCTGGTTGCTTTGAGATTTTTCTTTAGATTTTCAGCAGTTAAACAAAAATATGCTTACTATAAATTTTCTTTAAAAACTTTATCCTAATATTTGCAGAGCTGCTTCAGTTTGATACTCGATGTTGTTTGTGAGTTTCAGAGAAGTCTTGGTTACTATCTCTTTAAAACAGTAGTTCTGCCACATTTTCTTTCATCTTCTGTAATTCATGTTACATGTTATATCCTTTTTAAAGATTCATTTAGAGAGAGCGCGGGTAGGGGCAGAAGGAGAGTGAGAGAGAGAATCTCAGATTCCCGGCTTGAGTGCAGAACGCGGCACAGGGCTTGATATCATGACCTGAGCCAGGATCCAGAGTTCGGTGCTTCACCAGCTGAGCACCCAGGCGCCCTAGCATGTTATCTCTTTCACTAGGTCCCATGTGCCTATTATATAGTTTTCTATGTTTTTCATTTTTTTCCCCTTTATGTGTTCTAGGCTGGATATTCTGATTTGTCTTCCATTCCATCCAGTAAATGCATTTCTTGAGGTCTTAATTGTATTAATTACATTTTTCAATTTAGAGTTTCCATTTGGTTCTTCTATAGATGTAGTTAGCTGGCAAAATTCTCTAGTTTACCTGTTTTCTTAAGCCTTTTAATTACAGTTACTTGAAAGTTGTTCCTAATGATACAGCTGTATCTGGATTATATGTAGGTCTTTCCTCTTCCTCTGTTTTCCTTGATTGGCTTTTCAGTTGTTTGAGTATGATTCCTGTTGTATCTACTTAGTTTGACTGAATGGTGGACATTGTGTATGAAAAACTGTAGAAGCTATGGATAATGTTATTGCCTCCAGAAAGGACTGTTCTTCTGCCAGATAAGTCCCTCAGGGATCAAATGGACATATTGGTGAAGGCTGTTCTATTTATCTGGTTTGCTCTTATTTTGAAGGCATGGGTAGGGGTCTCAGATGAAAGCCTTCTCTTTTAAAGGCCCTAAAGTCATTTGTCTCTCCTCTGGGTATGAAACTGCTGAATGTGCTGGTTGGTTTTTGGACCTCTTAGATACTGTTTCCTTCTGCTAAGGTTTCTCAGCTTCCTGCCCTGCACAGTTTAGGAATTGGCAAGTGCCTTGAAAAGAAAAGCTGTGAAGTTCAGGCTCACTCACTCTGATCTTGACCTCCCAAGTCTGAGTTGCTCTGGTTGTTTTCCAGTGATTTTGAACAATTGTTTTTTGTTTTATTTATATTTTGTGGAGTTAGGAAGGCCAGTGAGATTTAAGCCACCTTCAGAAGCTGAAGTCTCCAATTTGTACTTGTATTCTTTTATAGCATTCTCAAAGCATGAAAGGGTAATTTTTTAAAATAAATATTAAGCTTGTACTTTGGGTATTTTGTTGTGGCCTCCTAATACTGAAGTAAAAGATAATGTGGTTAATGCCAGAAATAGGAATATCATTATTTGAGTTTTGAGTTTCAAAACATGAAGGCCCTTATTTATTTATTTATTTATATTATTTTGTGAAGATTTTGTTTGAGAGAGAGCACAAGTAGGGTGAAGGTTGAGCCTGATCTGGGACTTAATTCATGACCTGAGCTGAAGGCAGACGCTCAACCCGCTGAGCTGCCCAGCCCTTACTTACTTGTCTTTTATTATGTTCAGTTAGCCAACACCATTAGTTTTGATTAGTAGTGTTTAACAGCTCATTAGTTGCATGTAACACCCAGTGCTCATAACAACACATACCCTCCTTAACACGTGGCTACCCCATCACCCAGCTACCCATCCCTCCACCTCCCCTCCCTTCTGAAACCCTGTTTGTTTCTGGGCATCCAGAGTCTCTGATGGTTTGTCTCCCTCTCTGATTTCTTCCCTTCAGTTTTCCCTCCCTTCCCCTATGGTCCTCTGTGCTATTCCTTATGTTCTACATACGACATAAACTATATGATAATTGTCTGTCTCTGTTTGACTTATTTCACTTAGCATAATCCCCTCCAGTTCCATCCATGTCGATGCAAATGGTGGGCATTCATCCTTTTTGATGGCTGAGTAATATTCCATTGTATATAGGTGCCACATCTTCTTCATTCATCTGTTGAGGAACAGTTTGGCTATTGTGGACATTGCTGCTATGAACATTGGGGTAGCATTTATTTAACATTTTAAAATCATTTTCTAGTCTAGTTGGAAAGATAAAACCTGTCTTCAAAAAAAGATAAACTATCTAACGTACTTCCACATCAGATGAATTCTAATATGGTGCATACTATGGGAGGACAAGAACTAATTTGTACTGTATGCCACTGTTCGGTTGTTTAATCATCAGAACAGGAATATATGTGAGCAGATGTTCAGTTGTAAAAAAAAAAAAAATGAAAATACATAAAAATGCATTTTTAAAAGTCACCCACAATCCACCTGTGAGAGATAACCACTAAGAACATTTTTGGTCTCAGAACATGTCTAAAAAAATGGAACATATCTAGTCTTTTTCCAGCACTTATAAATGTATAATATATGTTACTTTGAAGTAATGAGTTAAGTAACATTATGCTTTAGAAAGTGTTTAGATTAGGTATATGCAATTCTAGGATAAGATATTTTTAAAGTTTGAAGGGTTGATAAAATTTCAGTGGTGCTGACAAGAAGTTTTTAAGAATATATGCAGCTGATGTTTTCTTTTCAATAATGATCTGGGCAGTGGAGTATTGGTTCTCTAAATTAAGAATTATGTCCATTGATACACATTGTATAACTATATGTTGTGATTTTTTTTTAAGTTGGTGTGTTTTAATGCTTCCTGTTAAGCTTCCTAATAACTTTTCTGTTTATATTTTAAAGGCCAAACTGTTTTCAGATAGTGGTTCAGCACTTTAGTGAAGAACATTACATTTTTTACTTTGCAGGAGAAACTCCAGAACAAGCAGAGGTAAGTTAATTATTTTCTCAGCACACCTTTATTTAGCTCATGATTTCTTTTTAATTAAGAAACTACTGCATGTGTGATAAAGTAATAAAAAGGAAGACTGAAATCTAATTATTTTTTTATTTCAAGGAATGAGAACTCTGTAAAAATTTTTTTTTAAAGAAATGCAGAAAAAATCTCAGTGAAGGGCTATTAGGAATGAAAACTCCATTTTAAATTGACCTTTAAATGCTCTATGATGTTGAGTCCAACTGAGAATCCTCATTTAAAATCCTCTCTGCAGAAAGGTTATAGATATCTCAGTACAGTTGAAAGGTAAGCCAGTTAGTTTTGCTAACAAGCATTGTTATTCTTCACTGGTTGAACTTCATATGTAATAATAGAAGTTCAGTCATCAAAAATAAAATTATTTTAGGAATTTTTTTCTTTTTCTCTAAGTCTACATATGATGTCTGCTTTCAGCACTATGCATTGATCCATGTGCAATGCCCTTATTAAAGCTTTTATTAAATTTTAAGCGTTGCTGTGATGAGAGAATGTTTTCCAAAAATTGTTTTTAAAAATACTTTGATTTCTTTGAACCATAAGATTTCAGGGGTGTTTATTGGTATTTTGTACAATATTTCTTCTGCTTATACTCTGTGGGAAGAATCTGAAGGTGGTTAAGAGGTCAAAGAAAACAACTTTGTTGTAAATAGAAGATAATTTGCCAACTCTGGATATGAGGCAGAGAAGCTCTTAAAACTGGATCCTGGCATGCATCCCTGATTCATAAATTATGAAAATATCTTAGACTCTAGAATTGATGAATGAGCCACATTAAGTTTTATGGTTCACAATTGAATGTCATGTTTCAAATCTTTACAAAATATTTCAAATATTATATTAACATGTAACACACAAAAACCCTTTGTTTTGTGGGTTTTATCCCTAATATTTAGATGCAAGAAGTAGAGTTCAAAACATTTATATAACAGATAGACATATATATAATTTTTTATGCTAGAAATTGAGTTAGGAAAGAAATTTAAACTTCAGTTTCCTATCCTCCAATTTCACTATGTTCCCTTTCTAAATAAAGATATATACACCTTGATGATATTTTAGTATAAATAGAATATTTTCTTGTTGTATTTATATATAAACTTTACATATTCTTTATTTCCATAACCACTTAAAGTCCAAAAATACCACTGATATTTCCAATTTTTGTTACTTTAGTGGCCTTTTGGATCTGTGGTTACTCTCTTCTATTTCTAAGAGGTATAGTAATTGATTAGGTCTTAATGTGTTCTGTAAAGATGTCCTGTGAACATTCAGAGTTCAGACTGAAATAGTCAACAAGTTAAGGATCTGAGTCAAACAGTAGTGCAGAACTTTGTGGAAATAAGTAAGCCAAAGTGAAATGTTCAGATTTATTTTTGATAAACCCAAGATTGTTCTCTCCTTTCTCCAGACCACTAGGTAAACATTTAAAAATGCAGCTTCAATTTAATTTGAATATTAGCCTGAAAATTATTTTGAATCTAATGTTGTGTTTTAAAGGCTTATAAAGGGGCACCTGAGTGGCTCAGTGGGTAAAGCCTCTGCCTTCAGCTCAGGTCATGATTTCGGGGTCCTGGGATCGAGTTCCACATTGGGCTCCCTGCTCCGCAGGGAGCCTGCTTCCTCCTCTCTCTCTGTCTGCTTCTCTGCCCACTTGTGATCTCTCTGTCAAATAAATAAAATCTTAAAAAAAAAAAAGGGAGCAGAATATCTTCAAGCATTTTAAAAAGAAAAAAAAAAAATGCTTATAAATAACCCAGATCCCCTTACACATTTCTGCCTGTGTCGTGGTCTAAGGTAAGATTAGATACTTGTCATCAAGGTAGTCATCACATGATCAGTTGGTTTGCCGTCAGCCCTCTTTTCACAAAACATAACTGCTTAATAACTTCAGTGGATTTTATTTTTTTGGCTAATTAATGGTCACTTATGGCATACTTAACATTAATTTAGGGATTCAACAGAAACACAATTTCAAAGATGATTATAATTGTTTTGGTCATTGTTTTATTTTATGGGACCCCCAATTTAAAGTGCAGCATACTCTGAGTATAGAAATGGCAGTCTGGATAAGGAAAGAACTGCTGAATTTGGGGGGAAAAAACCCTTATGATTGGAAACTGAATAAACCATTGTATATTTCTTTGACATGCTGTTATTTTTTGTAGGACTGGATGAAAGGTCTGCAGGCATTTTGCAATTTACGGAAAAGTAGTCCAGGGACATCTAATAAACGCTTGCGTCAGGTGAAACTTAATTTTCTTTGATGTTCACACGTTTCTCTTTATAACTTTGCTCTTTATTTCTGTCAGAACTGGTTTGAGCTACATTTCAAACCCTTCTGAGCAGCCCCCCCAAAATCCATCCATCCATCCATCTGTTTGTTTATTTTATGTTCAGTTGGCCAACATAGAGTACATCATTAGTTTTTGTACATATATTCAACGGATTACTTATTACTCAGCCATCTGAAAGGATGAATACCTACCATTTGTATCGACATGAATGGAACTGGAGGGGATTATGCTAAGTGACGTAAGTCAAGCAGAGAAAGACAGTTATCATATGGTTTCACTCATATATGTGGAACATTAGGAATGACACTTCTGAGTTAAGTTTATCTTTTCAGGCATTTTAAAGCCGTGCTTCCACTTGGTTCAATAGCAGGAGAAATATTTATGAAAAAGAAATGTTCCTTACATACTTGCCAGGTAGTTAGTCCATAATGCCATCTTTGGAATCCATACCAAGGATTCTTTTCTTCTACTTAAAATAACAATACCAAACCAACAACAATAGAAACCATTTTGTTAGGCACTTTGATTCATTTTTTTCTTGAAAGAATCATTTTGGCCTATATCAAAAAAGTACAACTAAAGATAATTATTGAAAAGATCATCTGAATTTAAGTATTAATCCAAATTGCTCTGAAGTCAAGTCTATTATGTATCTGTTAGGTAGCATCTTATTTGAACCATAACATGTCATACATGTTCATTTTATAGAGAGTTAAGTTGGGCTTTTTCTTTCTTTCTAGGTATGTAAAGTCAACTCCATACCCTGCATATCTTTGTGTTTTTTTGTTTTTTTTCTGTTTTGTTATCCCTAGATAGCTGGAAAAAGTTAAGTAATTTTCGTATTCTTGGAGTATTGAGGAACATTTAGTACAGTATTTATTGACCAGAGTGATTCTTTATTAATGGAAGTTTCCAACAAGCTTTGTGAACTTAATATATTGTTCTATTGCAAGTCAATACATGGTTAATATTTAAATGAGTATAAATTCTATTTCCTGTAACCAAAAATCTAAGCCTTTCCCCAAGGACATTTATTTATACACATAGTTGTATTCTCAAATCATATTTTGACATTTTGTAAGCTATGAAAAATCAGACTGAGTTTTTGCAGATTGTGTCTTGTGTGAAACTTTTGCTATGAAGTTATTTTTAGCTGTAAGACAATAGAATAAAAAATGATATAATAAAGTCATAGCTAACATCTCTTAAGCCCTTTTGCAGGTACTCTCCTATGTGCTTTTAATGTATTATTTTGAGTCTTTATGATAACTTGCAGTGTAGAATTTATCCTAATTTTATATCTGAGGAGTTGAGGCTCAGAGAGGCTGAATTGTCCTATGCCATTCAAGTAGTATGTAGCAAGAGGGAAAGAGAACCTGATCTAGACAGTGAATGATCTAAGTTTTGGCATCAAAACTGACAAAAATAACTTAGCTTTTTTGGATTTGTATCTTTTTCTGCAAAAGGAGAAGGCAGAATCAGTGTTGTAAAAATACTTTCTAGCTGTGGAAGTTTATAGATAAATCTTCCAGATGAGCTTTATATATATAACCTACAGGATTTTGATTTGGGTGATGACAGTTTTTTACTTACGTTAAAATAAAAAATCCTCTATTTCCATTTTCTCTGAACTGTTTTTTTAGTAGAAAGGTACGTTTCATTAAATTGCTATGAGAATATAATTGGAGATTTAAGAATTATTTTAAATGCTTGAATGTTGTATTTTATACATCACATAAAAAGGAAAATATAATTATAGGTCGTAATGTCTAAAGAAAGGGGAAAAGTAAATCAGTTTTGGGTTTTTATTTCTTAAATAGTAATTGCTTTTGAAACCTAATGTATAATTCTTGAAATCTGGGTAACAATTTCTGTGTTTTCTTTAGGTCAGCAGTCTTGTTTTACACATTGAAGAAGCCCATAAACTCCCTGTAAAACATTTTACTAATCCGTATTGTAACATCTACCTGAATAGTGTCCAGGTCGCAAAAACTCATGCAAGGGAAGGGCAAAACCCTGTATGGTCAGAAGAGTTTGTCTTCGAGTAAGTCTTATTTTATCACTACATTAAATCTTTTTTTTTTTACCCTATTGCATTTTCTCTGTTTTCGTTTGTTTGTTTGTTTTGTTTTTTGGTTTCTGTCTCTGAACTACCATAACAAGGTGCCAGGTCCAGGCAGTTTAGTAGTACTTTTTTCCCCCCTGCTTTTATTAGTGAAATGCTATGTCCTTGGTTTTTCACTTAGTCATTAATAGGAATAAGTGTTACTGACACGTTCAAAAGCATTTACTAAGACACACATACAAAATGTTCACAATGGTTCCCAGGATTTACTTGAGGAGGTTAAAGATGGGGGAAAAGTGTATGATTTGCTTGTCTGCATTCCTGTATTCCAAATAATAAAATGTTTCAATCCAGCATGCATATTAATAGAAATAAGGGACTTATTTGATACTAGAAATAAAAGAATTAGAATTTGATGCCAGGATATTTTGTTAATACTTTTTCTTTTTGCTCCTCTAGTGATCTTCCTCCTGACATCAATAGATTTGAGATAACTCTTAGTAATAAAACAAAGAAGAGCAAAGATCCTGATATCTGTAAGTTGATACAGAAATTTCTCTCTGGAGTAAAACATGTTTTATATACTTTTAAAAATTCATAATGAAATCTAGTCTAAAAGTGCCAGTAGTATAATTTGACATAGTTTTTTTTTTGTACTTCTAAAAGTTTTGATTGTTGAGGAAGGGTTTCTCTAATAAGAAAAAAAGATCAAAATGGCTAAATTGTACATACTGTAAACTTAAGCCCTTGATATTAAATTATCTTTCATCTCCCCTTCCCTCCCCAGTGGACAGGAACAAGAGAACAGTAAGAGTGGCCATCTTTCTGTGTTGTTTCACCTATCCCTTCTTTGTACTTTCTAGGTTTTTCCCGTTTTCATATAGTTTTATGTAAGTGGGAAAAAGTATTCTGTTTTTTTTTAAAATTAGTCCACTGTTTATTCATTTCTGGTGAACCTTTTCCATTCTTTTTCCACAGTAGCATACCTTCTCCCAGCCTGTTGCTGACAGGTGGCAGTGGGATTTAACAGTTCATATCAGAGTTAATTAGGTTAATACCTTCTTAAAAGTCAGGCTTAGGGAAAGAAGTGATAAGCGTTAACAGGAATTCAGAGCCTGAATTTTCCTCTACAAAATATTTATTCTGTTGTTTCTGTACTGTTTAAATGCCTAACATTTTTTTAGTGGTTCCCCATTACTTTTAAGATAAAATCTAAACCTGTAGTAAACACAGAAGAAAGGCCCTTTCCTGATCCCCTCCTCCTCCACCCTGCGGCTCTCCTAGTGTATCTTTGGTATATCCTCTCTAGATATACCAGCTTTCTTAGAGCTTTTAAGCAGTCCATGGATTTTAAAACTGCCCACCATACCTTCTATTGGGATGGTGCTCTTTTTCTTTTTCTCTGCCTTTCTACCTAGCTACACCTCCATATTCTGTTAAATGTCAGCTTAAGGGTTGCTTGTTTGGAATGGATTTTTCCACCAGCTGAATTACATATTATTTCTCTATACTTGAATAGTAGTAACCACTGGTAATGGCACTTACCACACTGTACCACGATTGATTTCTTGCCTTACTGTGACCTCCATGCAAGTCAGAGACCATGTCTTAATCATGTCTGTATTCCCGTGTCCCTGCCTACCATAGTCTGGTACAAAATAGGCATTGAGTAAATGAATGAAGTAAGTATTGAGTATGTGTTACTACTGAAAACGCCTTAAAAGCATTTAACACTACAGAGAAGACAAAATGTCAGGAAAATTTACTGGTATGATGAATTACAGTGTCCTCTTTTCAGACAGTAATCATTTGATGTTTTTCTATCAAAGTATTTATGCGCTGCCAGTTGAGCCGGTTACAGAAAGGGCATGCCACAGATGAATGGTTTTTGCTCAGCTCCCATATACCATTAAAAGGTATTGAACCAGGATCCCTGCGTGTCCGAGCACGATATTCTATGGAAAAAATCATGCCAGAAGAAGAGTACAGTGAATTTAAAGAGGTATTAAGTTATTTATCAATCTAATTATTTTAGATGGAATTAACTTTAAACATTTAAACAAAAAGATCCATTAAGTTAAACATAGCAATGTCATAGCTTAGTGCACCAGTGATGGGCATAAAGGTTGAAAAGCCTTGCGGTAGTATGATATTGGTCTTAAGAGTCTGTAAATATGTAGGCTATAAACTCATCCTGTTTTTAATAAATGTATTCAATAGAACATATTTCTAAATAGAAGAAAATAAGAGAATTCCTATTAATCTCATTGAGCATGTTTAATGCTGTATACTTTCAATAATCTTTCTTGATATCATTTTTAGCTTATACTGCTAAAGGAGCTTCATGTAGTCTATGCTTTATCACATGTGTGTGGACAGGACCGAACACTACTGGCTAGCATCCTACTAAGGATTTTTCTTCATGAAAAGCTTGAATCATTGTTGTTATGTACACTAAATGACAGAGAAATAAGCATGGAAGGTAAAGTATGGATGTCTTGGTGTGATACTTAAAAAAAAAAAATCATTTCGCAAAATAAGTTACCCTATTTTTCCTTCATTAAAAATTAAAGTTGGAATGTCAGTTCTGATCCTTGTGCTGACTAACATTTGGCAGTTTCCGTCATGGTAAATTATTCCATTAGAAGCCATAAGAAAACAACCTCTTTATCCTTATTAATGGCTCATGGTGCTTGGTCATTAAGAATATTTTGGTGTACCGACCATATTCTCTCACTTATATTTTACTTGCTAATTCACTGCACAAAAGTTAGGTGACAGCCGCATTTTATTTCTAGCTTCTATAGATAGGTAGTCCCCAGGCAATGGAGTTGGACACACAGTGCTTTGTAACAGCTTACAAGTTTGTCACAGTTAACCCCTTTCTGGCTAGCACTTTGGCTTAGTAACAGTGCTTGCTTTTAGGTTCCCCAGTAAACTATAAAAGCTAAAACTATTTCCTCCTAATCATAGAAAATGTAAAAGACATCGATTTGTCAGGAAAGATAAAGTGATGGTTAAGATGTCACATTGGGATTGTCTTTTTTGGGCAATATTTGTGTTTTTTAGGTCATTAATAGCCATTTTTTAAGGTAATAATTTATACTGGGATTTTGTGGGTTTTTTTCTTTTCATTTTCTGCATTTAAAAAAATTGGAAGTATAATTGGCATATAGTATCCTATTAGTTTCAGGTATATATCATAGTGATTTGGTATTTTTATACATTATAGAGTGATCTCCATGATAATTCTAATTATTTATACCACTACATTATATTCTTATTTGGAGATAACTCAGAATTTCCAAAGTGTGGGCTCATTGGATAGCAAAGCTGAATTCTGATCTTATTTTAGTCACTCCTTGGCTCTGTGGTCTTAACAAGTCATATAACCATTTGTTTTTTCTTACGAATATGCCAGTGTCAGCACCTCCTGCTGATTTAATGAATAAAGTCCTTCGAAGGGTTAAGTTTATAGAAATATAGGATGTCATTATAATCAGTACTTCAGTGCTGCATGCAAATAAGCATACTTAAATGGCTATAATGGTTGAGCGGAAAATGAATTCACTTTATTTCTAATCTGGTTTCACATTAGTGCAATCTTTTATATGAATAATCTTTTAATATAAATATTTATGTAGATGAAGCCACTACTCTATTTCGAGCCACAACACTTGCAAGCACCTTGATGGAGCAGTATATGAAAGCCACTGCTACACAGTTTGTTCATCATGCTTTGAAAGACTCTATTTTAAAGATAATGGAAAGCAAGCAGTCTTGCGAGGTACGAACTTCATGTTTTAAGTATTTCAGCAAAGAAATATTTTAATAGGTGATGCTTTTATAGCTAATGACATTATAAGGAAAATACATTAGCTTTCTAAAATTACTCATCAGGGCATTTACATGTTCTGTAATACGTTTAGAAAAATGTTGGAGTAGACTTTAAAAAAAAAATAGACTTAAAAAAAATGTACTTTGAAATTAAAAAAACTCAGATTGCACCAGAAATTACTTTCTCATTTACCTTGCTGTACTAATGATACAGTGTATGCTGCTTTCAGAAAGCATATGTAACATAAATTGAAGTTTTTGCTAGAGACTTAAGTCGTATAATCCAGGTAAGGTCTATGAAGCACTTCCCAATAACAGCCAGGGGGTATCCTTGAAGGTTTTGGTAAAGAAGTACAACACAATGCATTCAAAAGCAAATAGAAACACCCTTTAGATTATTAAGGTTTCAGCGTAAATTCATAATAAACCATTAAGAGAAAGAGTGGAATCTCACATGGCTCTTCTCTCATTTTGAAGGTAGAACAACTACAGAAGGAAGATATTAAATACATTTTTTCAATCTGATACAAAATAAAACAAAGAATTGCTTTTGATAATGTACACTGGGAGCTGTCAAATGTTAATTTTGCACTACAGATGTCCGTTTTTACTAATTAACCTAAAGGAAAGAAATTGAGGATTTAGTGTTGAAAACTGGGGTAATACAGGTAATATCAGAAATTGAGCAAGTGTGCAGTGAGTCTGTAATCACTAGATCAGGTTAGGGTATTAGGACTCAGACAGATGTATCTACTCCACTGATTCTAGATCAGATTTCTTAAAATTCCAAGGGTTACTGGAAAAATTTTGAGAAAGGTTCATTATTCTGTCTGTGGCATTCAGAAAAGCCTTTCTATTTTAATCAGTATTTTTTTTCAAATAAATACAACTAGAGATTGATTTTATAATAGATGGTGATCACTATTTTCATTTAAATACTCGTAGTATATTTGTGTATATGTGATCACTAAAGCTGGGTTTTAGTCTTCTCGTTTAGAGTGTACAATTTTAAAAATAAAGTCTAATCCATTTTTGTGGCTGTAAAAATCTATGGTAAAGCATAGTAAATGAATAAAAGAGAACTTTAACACCCATATTAATCCCAGAGCAAATAAAATGTGCTGAATAATCACTGCTTATTGCACAGTTGAATAATTGGAAATTAATGGTAAATGAGTTCTATAGAGCAAACTACTTAAAAATTCCCATTTATATCTATCCCCCAAGACTAAAACAGATTGAAAAATGGAAAAACAGAACCTTGAAAACAACGGTTTGATTACCTTGATTCATTTGCATTTATCATTGTCAAGATGCATTTATATTAATTTATTCCTTCTCTTAGTTAAGTCCATCAAAGTTAGAAAAAAATGAAGATGTGAACACTAATTTAGCACACCTATTGAACATACTTTCAGAGCTTGTGGAGAAAATATTCATGGCTTCAGAAATACTTCCACCGTAAGTGATGAAATTTTAATTTGACAAGAAACTGTGAGCAGGGTCGGGCCTGGTTAGTACTTGGATGGGAGACAAGAAACTGTGTATCTGCATTTTGAAAAATTTGTATTTCTAAAATGTGTAAGCTTTTCCACTGTCCTAATTAATGTTTTTATACTCTGCAAAAGAGTTTTTCAATCTTCCAAGGTGAATTTTGTTTAAGGCAAAAGAGTGACTTGAGGAAACTGCAGTAGTGTAATATTTACATTATAATAAAAACAAAAGTATGTTTTTACACAGGCTATAATGTCTGGTTTATACGGTAATTTGGGTAATGAATAGAGACTTTTGAGATCTTAAATATCTTGGTCTTTTTTTATGTGTTTTTGTTTTAATTTCAGTATAGTTAACATAGACTGTTACATTAGTTTCAGGTGTATAATGTAGTGATTCAGCAATTCCATACACCACCCAGTGCTCATTACAACAAGTGCCCTCCTTAATCCCCATCGCCTATTTCCCCAATCCTGCTCACTTCCCCTTTGGTAACCATCGGTTTGTTCTCTGTAGTTAAGAGGCTGAAAAATATTCCATTGTGTGTATATATTTACCACATTTTCTGTATCCGTTCATCTACTGTTGGACAGCTGGGCTGCTTCCATCATTTGGTTATTGTAAATATGCTGCTATAAACATAGGGGTGTGTATATCCCTTTGAATTTGTGTTTTTGTATTTTGAGGGGTAAATAGTGTAATTATTGGATCATAGGACAGTTCGATTTTTAACTTTTTGAGGAAACTCCATACTGTTTTCCACAGTGGCTGCACCTTAAAGTACAACAGCCAGTACCTGCTTAACAGCTTTTAGTGTAAGTGAACTCACTCAGGTAGAAGTTATCATAAGTTAAAATCCATCTCCGGGAATCTGAACTTAGTATTTCCTTTGTATCGTCATTCCAGTACTTTTTTCTTTCTTTTCATTAATACAGAAGCATTGTAAAAATGGTAAGATTTCTTCCAAAGTAAATGTAAAGAATTGACTAAATGAATTGATGATGAATAATATTTGTTTTCCTTATCCCTTTACCACATATGTCCTGCACTACTTGTAGCAGAGTAGTTTTTTGGGGGTAAGGGCCAGTCACATTAAGAAGTGTATTAGGCAAATTAAGCTTTTGGATGCAATGAGATAAGCATTTTTCCCCTTGCTTTATATATTGAGACGACTGTGTTGTTTTGGCAGGACACTGAGATATATTTACGGGTGTTTACAGAAATCTGTCCAGCACAAATGGCCTACAAATACCACCATGAGAACAAGAGTTGTTAGGTAAGATTCATCAATCCATCTGTTAAGGCATTGTGGATGGTGTGCACTGATAGTCAAGCGGGTGACTGAAAATTTGAAGAATAACAGTATATAATTCAAGACTTTTTTCTTTTACTTTTATGTCAGAACCCTGTTGAATATTTTCTGAGTTCAGATGGCTACTGAACTTTAACTGTACTGTATTTTTTTTGGAAGTTACTGAGAGGTATTTAGCTGCCTTGTGCATTTTCTAAAAACCTGAGCACTCATGTATAATCAGTTAACTATGGGAATTTTTATCTTATTGAAAGAATGGGGTTAAAAAAGTTACATAACCAGCACCATCTGTAAGTAACTTTATATAGTACTCACATCATATACACAGTACATTACCTACATGCATAGTTGCATATAGATAGAGAAAGAAGAGGGAAGGTGGGGAGAGGGGGAGGATTGAAAGCAGGATTGATGTGGTGCTAAGGAGAAAGAGGAATAATGGACTGATGGGTTAGTAGCAGTCTGGGACTCTGGGCTAATCTCCAGCCAGAGCCTCCAGTTCTGAAGCTGTGTTTCGGTATGCTCGTTGTGCAGTAGTTAGGAGGAATTGCTTTGGCAAGTCACAGAATGTTGTAACCTGTATACAGGGGGACTTTGTTATCACTACTCTAACTTAGTTTTCCAGTGAGGAAGCAGAGCTGTAGAGGTTGAAATTTGTTCGCTTAAGGTTATATAGAAAGGTTGTGCTAAGGCAGAACTAAAGGCCAACCTTCTAAGATCCAGTCAGATCGCTAACACTACTATAGGCTTTGTTAAGTACACCCCAACCCACTGAAGACAACTGGAAGTTCAGTGCAAAAACATCAGAGAATATAGCATTCTGCTAATAATATTTTATGTAGAATGCATACTACCAGTCATGTTATATCCAATTAAAACAACCATTGAAGACACTAATATCATACAGTCAGTTGTGAAAAATGTGTGTCAGTTGTGCCCACAGCCTAAGTTTGGTAAAGAGGCTTCTATTCTTTTTGTAAATAAAATTTCTCCTGGTTAGTAATGATGAGACATAAGTATTAAAGAATTGTAGATTCTGTATTTCTTCACCTTAGTTGTGATTGAGAGGAATTAGAATTAGCAGCGTAAGTTTCAGCATAGTTTTGTGTGTGATGTCAATTAAAGCCTCATACACTGTTTCAGATGAGTTTAACTGTTAAGCAAATACAGCAGGAATTTCTGCTGTGTGAATTGTCTGACACTACATGGTTTTTAGGGGGCATTTATGCCCAAAGTGATGATTTCTGTCCCTACTAGTGAGCTTTTAAACATATGTGTAGGTACCTAGTATCCTTTTTAAATTTAAAATCACTTCTACAAATTCACAGAAGGAAGATTTGCACACTGAAATTCTTTCACAATTAAATGCCGGTAGGTTATAGTTCAGATTCAAACACGTAGCAAAATGTTTTCAAGCAAAACTTATGCAAGATTCTTCACAAATTCATTTAAAAGAGATATTTAAAGAGCTGATAATTGTGTATTATAATTGCAATAAATGCTATCTGTGAAGTTACAATCATTTTCCAAGAGTCCAAAAAGTAGTAAACTGTCACTAGGTTAGAAAGTAAATGCTGAGGTCTTTTTCTTTATTGCCATAAAAGCTTTATAGCATTCAATTGTGTACATTTTCATTTATCAAGAAGCCACTTTTCTCTAGCAAGATGGATTCTTATTTTTAGGATTCATCAGCAAAATCAGTTTAATCAGCTAGATTTATAACAGACATTATTGTGCTATTCAATTTAAATAAAGAAAGAAGTGAGAGAATGCAAATTTTAGGACCATACAGTCCTGTGTCTCTATAAAAAGGTTGTTTAATACTCCTAAAGTATTTCAGAAATTCTTAGTGTTCTAATGCTACTGCTTCCTCAAAGTAAGTATATTGGAATAAATAAAGAGTTGCCAAGGCCAAGACCATAAATGCTACAGATACAACTTAAATCTTCCCAACATAAACTGAAAATTGCAGAATTTGGGCTTCTTTACATCAGTTCAAAGTTCATGATTCTACAAGTATTAATATTTTTGTTTATTATTTTTATGTAACATATATAGTAGTTTTCTAAAAAAAAAAAATTTCCCTCCCATTCAGTGGTTTTGTTTTTCTTCGACTTATCTGTCCTGCCATCCTGAATCCACGGATGTTTAATATCATCTCAGGTAATCAGCTTTTGATAAAATTTTGGAATTAAAAAATTAGAGTAAAATTTGATATTTGGTAAGGTTATTCATTTTTTCTTTTACATCTGATTTTTTTATTACCCAGTTCTAAGACTTGTTATAAAACAGAGCACCCTTTTCTTCTTTCCTTTTCCCTACTTTTTTACCTTCTCTATTTTGCTTTTCTTTACATCTAGTATCTGAAGCCTGACGTCATGATTATAGACAAGTATCACTCTTCCTCAATCCCTACCTGTGTCTCAGACTCTCACTGTGATGACTTCTTTCAATGTACAACCTGATTTTTTCACCTGGCAAGAGTTTGTGTACTTTTAGCCCATGCTAGACCCTATCACTACCACTGCAGGTTGTATTTTAAGACCAAATTAAAATGGTAACTATAGTTGCAGTAGAGCTCTGTAAATACTTGACTGTGGCCCTTTAGTGATGGAGAGGTTTGTCACCAGTTGGATAATGTTAATTGGCCAGTTTAAATTCCCCACAAACCAGATTTAGTTTTACTTATTGCCCATATGTCCATTATGCAAGGACTTTCAGATGTCATAGGCATCTTTTGAAGAAAGGAGAACAGTGATATTTGTGACTACAAATGCAGTAATGAGCCATTATTAACAGAAGGAACTGGAACCATTTTTCTTTTAATAATTAGAAGCTTAAAGTTGTATTTAAAAATACTTTGGACTAAATCTTAAGTTTTACTTTATTGTATTTATAGTTACCACATCTCTGTCATTATTTTCTAAAGCTACCAAAATGGTTAAATCTTTGGTTCTATTAAGAATTAAGGGTTTAGAATTCTGGAGAGATTGGTTTATCTCAATGTTGGCCTCTGAACCAGTAGGCAGTACTCATTTACAGTTCAGCAGTTTAAGATACACAGAGTACAGTCTAAAATGAGGCAGTCAGATAGAATTACTTACACATTTTTACTGTTAAATAATTCTCTTTCAAGGCTTATATGTAATAGCTGCAAATGGTTTTCATTTACACCCTACTATGCATATTCTATAGGGAAATGTTTCCTGACCAGTCTTTTATTATAGTTTATTCTATAATACTCTAAGTTTATTAAATTGTTTTTCCCTCAATATAAGGGCAGAAGTCCCAGACTTTATCTTTGTTATTGAGCTTTAAAGTGATTTTTCTTAGTCATTGGAGGTTGGGAGTAGGAAATTGCTCAGACTGCAAATTGCTAACCTGAGGGGATGAAATTAGCTTTGTGAACTGTCACAAAGCAGGTGTGTGGAGTGACAGTCATTTTAGCGATAAAGCTTTAAGGCATTGTGAAATATCAACCAGTTGAGAACTGCTGAGTCTTGCAGCAGCACCTTTTTCACAAACTGGAAGTGTTGATAAGTGTATTTAACTTTCCCCCCTTTAACTCAAGTTTTCTTGAATTACACAGGTCATACCATTTCCAAGAATGTTAGTATTTTTGCAGTAAAGAAATATTAAAGTGCTAACTTTATACGGCTTTACCTGGAAATGCCTTTGGAGTCGGTATCATTACCTGTGCCCAATTCTCTCTTACAGATTCCCCATCTCCTATTGCGGCTAGAACACTGATATTAGTGGCTAAATCTGTGCAGAATTTAGCAAATCTTGTGGAATTTGGAGCTAAGGTAAAAACAGTTTGATACTTTAAAATGTCATTTACAAAGGAAACCTTGAGATGATAAAACCATAGAATATAAAGTTATCAGTAGTGGCTGTTTCATAGGTATATTTTTGTTGGTATGTATGTCTTTTAAAATATTTTTAGATTTTACATTTTAATAATGAAATTTTTTTTTTTTAAAGATTTTATTTATTTATTTGACAGAGAGAGATCACAAGTAGACAGAGAGGCAGGCAGAGAGAGAGAGAGAGAGGGAAGCAGGCTCCCTGCTGAGCAGAGAGCCCGATGCGGAACTCGATCCCAGGACCCTGAGATCATGACCTGAGCCGAAGGCAGTGGCTTAGCCCACTGAGCCACCCAGGCGCCCATTAATAATGAAATTTTTAAAACCACTGTTTCAGCCAGTATAGAAAACTATACTTTCTTTTTCCAATATACTTAAACTCTCCTACTCTTAAATATAAAAATTAATATATTTTTAAATGTACTCGAGTCCATTTTATTATTTATTTCATCATAAATATTTACTGTAAATAACTTGGACAAGTTCTTAAACACCCATATTTAAAAACTTAAAATACCCATATTAGGTAGTGATCCCACTACCTAATGATAAGGATTGTTAATATTCTAGTAGTGATCATACTGTGTTGCCTGATTTTGTCAATGTTGAACAAACTTCTTGCCTGGAAAAGTAACTATTTTACTGTTCTTAACAAGTGCTATGTCATCATGTAGCTGTTAAGTACTCTTCTCAACATTTAGATGGCTGCCAACTTACCACTGTTACAAATACTGCTATAACAGGTATCCATATATCCTTGCAAAAATGTCCACTTATTTCCTTAAACTAGTTTTGGAGGGAAACTCCTAAGTCAGACTTTTTGCTTCCCAGAGCCTTGCCAAAACTCAGTGAATATTACTCTGTTTAATTTTTGCCAAACTGCTAGGCATGTTACTTTGATTTTTCGTGTCTGTTTCTTTGGAATCGACTGATGAGGTCTTTATCATCTTTCATTTATTGACTTTAAAAGAGCTTGTGTTAATACTAAACATTTTCTGTTTCACAACATGCCACATTTTAATTTTCATTTTTTAAATTTTTTATTTTTTTAAAAAGATTTTATTTATTTATTTGACAGAGATCACAAGTAGGCAGAGAGAGGAAGGAAGCAGGCACCCCGCTGAGCAGAGAGCCCGATGTGGGGCTCTATCCCAGGACCTTGGGATCATGACCTGAGCTGAAGGCAGAGGCTTTAACCCACTGAGCCACCCAGGCGCCCTACAACATACCACATTTTAAATAGGCTTAATATTTTAGTATGAAGAGCAGTTTACAGTAAGGCTTAGCTTTTGAATTTATCTAAATACTGAGGCAGGTTGTAATATGTATTCCTGTTGCAGTCTTTAGCACACTGTATTTTAATTACTTACGTTCTCTGCTAGATTCTAACCCCTGGCTTGGGCCCATTTTTATCTTGGTAGGTGGCAAATTTAAGTTTCTCAGTAATTATTTTTGAATGAATAACAGCTGACCTTGATGCACAGGTTCAAACTGCACTGGTCCGCTTATTCATGGTTTTTACAGTACTGTAAATATATTTTCTCTTATGGTTTTAATATTTCCTTTTCTCTAGCTTACTCTATTGTAATAATACATGAATATATGTAACATATAAAATATGTATCCGTCAACTGTGTATGTTACCAGTCACATTTTTTTGGGGGGGGGGTCAAGTTATATATGGATTTTCAACCACTTGGGGTTGGTGCTTTTTTTCCCCTCCATCCAGAATTTCTTACTCTTTCATGAGAATATTCCAGTTCTTCAGTATAGCTCTTTGCTTTCATTAGAAGGAAAATTTATATGACTAATTCTTGTGAGCATTTATTGCTGTTGATGGACATAATTAGATTTATAGGAATCCTTGCTACATATGTGGTATAGATCAGTGTTTGTTTTTATTTTTAGGAGCCCTATATGGAAGGTGTCAATCCATTTATCAAAAGTAACAAACATCGCATGATCATGTTTCTGGATGAACTTGGGGTATGTATATAATTTTTCAAATACTTTGAGACCTAAATTTAATATAGCTGAGAATTGTTAACTCATTTAATCAACAGCTTAGATTTTTATCCAGAACTTAAACAAAAATGGGCACCTGGCTGACAGTTGCTTAAGCCTCCTACTCTTGATCTCAGGCTAGAGTTCAGACCCTGCATTGGGCTCCACTTAACACAAAAAGAGGCTTTTTTTTTTTTAATCATTATAAACATTTATTCTTAAACTAAATGGTTTACTACCAAGAACTCACTGTTAACGGTTTTGTACTTCTTGTGCAATTTTTTAGTTTCTGTCTTGTTTTTCACTATCCTTTTAGCTGTTCCATCTCCTTATTGTGATATCCTGTTGCTACTTATACTGAGCTGCTAGTGTATGGAACTTGAAACAAGATAACCCAGATCTGACCAGGTTAAATAATGGACTGGAGAGTGTTCTGAGGGCTTTACTAGGAATAAAATACATGGATTTAGAATGCTACTTCATTCAGTGGGACTACTGATGTCTTATTTGGACCTTTATAAATTGTGATTACAAGATTAATAGAAATGGTAACAAAAAACAAAACAAAAAAAACTAAAAAAATTCCTAAGACCGTGTATTTCTTAGTAAAGTTGAATTTTCTTCTTACAGATTTACAGATAATGGATCAATTAAAAAGTAAAATACATTAGTAATTCAGTTCATATATAAAAAAAAAAAAGGTTATCAGTTTAGTATGTATGGCATTAGGGAATGTTAGGGTTGGAGACTGAAGTGCCCATGTTCTGCCATAATGTATTCAGATCCAGTTTTAAAAACACCCCACCAGTGTTCAGTGAAACTAACCAGCAGTTCCTGAGGGCCCTTGCTTTGCTACCTGAGGGTAAAACCGGGGTGAAGAAGTTATTTGTAACATAGGTCCATAAGTAGCATAAAATTGAGAAATACAAGGCAAATGCTAAATGTCTGTTTTTTATATATGAACTCAGGGAAGTTTAGGAGATAAAAATACTTATTACCAAAAAACAGTTGGGTCAGCGATTGAAAAATTCTTACTGTAGTATTGTTTAAAGACTGAAAACTGTCCACTATCTAAAGCTACCAAGCTTTAACTTAAGCTGTATTTCTAGGTTTTTAGATTCTTCAGATTCATGGTTAGGATTCTCATTTATTTTCCATAATCACAGCTGTCTTACAGTCCAGCTCTCTTATCACTTTTCTAGTTATGCCTCACAATGTGGTCTTAAACTGCTTAGAATTCCCATTCTTCTACTCTTCCTGCCTTCTGCATGTTCTTGTATTCCTTTACTACCTGTGTAAATCAGATTCTTCTTTCAAGACTCACTTTCAGAAGGACTTTTTGATGAGCACTAAATCTGAGTCAAATACCTTTTCCTCTGCTTCCTAAGTATCTGCATATCTTTCATATCTGTGTTGCAGTGATTGGTTTATCTCTGTCTTCTAGAGAGGCTCTAAGCTCTCTGAAGGCAAATACTATAGTCTTTTAACTCTGTAATCCATTCACTGAATGAATGGATAACTGAGTGTTAATTAACAAGAATGAACTGTATTTCAGTTCATGCTACAGAACACAATGTTTTTGTAGTTTTTAGGAAGGTACAGCAATTGAGTTATCACCATTAGGAAGAGGAGTAGATTTTTTCAGAACAGCCATCTGAGCCCATGTTGAATTTTATTCTATGGCTCAAAATAATACTAATAAAGTGCTAATAAAGTACGAAGTTTTTGGGCATAGTCCACAGATAATTATCAGCCTGACAGGTTCTCCTCACACTTCTATAGTGTAACTCTCACGTATACTGATAAATTTGGGCAAACTATAACAACTAAATAATGAAACTGTGTCAATGGAGGAATTTAAAGTTTAGCTTGCATTTAATCCAGATCAGCAGTTGCAGTGTTTCTGGTTATTTTTTGGTGTATGTGCCAGATCAAAAAACCCCCAAAACTCTTAAGAATTTAGGAAGCCCACTTATTTAGATTAACAGTAATACTGTACAGTATTCTGCCATGCTCTGTAAAGCAAATTGGACCCTGCGTTTGATGTGAATATTGAGGTCATAGGACCTTTATCAGAAATACCACTGAATGTTACATAGCATCTTAGACTCTTAAAAGAAATTTAAGAGAACATTATGTTAAGAAGGATCTTTTCAGAAGTGACTATAAAAATTTGTATTGCTAAATGCAGTTTTATCATTCTCTTAAAGAATGTACCTGAACTTCCGGACACTACAGAGCACTCGAGAACTGACCTATCTCGTGATTTAGCGGCACTGCATGAGATCTGTGTGGCCCATTCAGATGAATTGCGAACACTCAGCAATGAACGTGGTGCCCAGCAGGTAGGTTTTTGCCAGCCTTCATTATCAGTGATGTTGGATTAGCACTTAAGCAGAATGTCAGCATAAGACTCTGAAAGGTAACTAGCTGACTTATGGTCAACTTTTTAAAAATTTTTATTAACATATAATGTATTATTTGCCCCAGGGGTACAGGTCTGTGAATCATCAGGCTTACACATTTCACAGCACTCACCATAGCACATACCCTCCCCCATGTCTACGCTCCCCACCCCTGCACCAACCCTCACTTTGTTTTGTGAGCTTAAAAGTCTCTTATGGTTTGTTTTATCAGTTATATTTTTAAGAATTGGAATCTTCCTCTGCAAAGATCTTGGCAGAGCAGTAATGGACCCAGACTAAAATTATGTATGTTTGACATGGCACAGTGTGAACTATACTGAAAAACAGTGGTGTTACACACTTCAGTGATGTGAAAATGGCAAGTGAATCATAAAGTCAGTAGTGATATGGCTTATCTCCCATACACAGTGCATAGCCAAGTGACCTGCAAGTTCCAGGTTCAGAGATTCTGGAGTGTGGCCTTGAAAACTGTCATTTCTAATAAGCTCTTCCTGAGGATTATCACTGTACTGGCCAATCATCTGGTAGGAGCCTTGTAGAAGAGATTAAAATTAAAGCATTGTGTTTGTGGATTTGAGGATTCTAAAATCCTCAAGTTTAGATAACCTCCTCTGGCTCACTAAGATTCCAGTCACTTTAGCAGCTTAGTATGTGCCACTGGCCTACTTAGCGTCTGTGGTATATATAATGCCTTCCAGCTACACTGGGGCTGAGTTTGTTATGATATGCCTTAAATAAAATTCTTGGAGAATTTGGCCTAATTAATTTTAGGCCCAGTGTAGTCCTGTTTCTTACATGATACTTGATAGTGTTCACTGGGCTGCAAGCTGATTGCTCCTCTGTGATCTTATGGATATTAGGATGATTTGTAATGATCAGTCTGTCTTCTGGCAAGATGTTCTGTCCTGAGTAGATATGAAAATAGCAAATAAATGAAATTCTATTTAGTGTACAAAGATCTTACCTTGACCAAAAATACTGAGTCAAGGACTAAATAATTAATAGAAACGTTCACAATTTTGTGCTTTGAGTAGAATGGTTAGTATTATTTTATGAGTTCCTTTGAATTGATGTGGCTTTTTCCAAAATCCAGGTTCCCTGAAATTTCTGACTGAACTTTCATTTATTTACTAATTATTTTCATACTATTTTTCCTTGTTTAGCATGTACTGAAAAAGCTTCTGGCTATAACAGAACTGCTTCAACAAAAACAAAACCAGTATACAAAAACTAATGATGTCAGGTAGCAGACTTCGCCCAAGTGTTCTGCTTGGATTCAGCATGCCCAACACGGTAATTCACATCAGTATAATGTTTCCTTTGCTCTTGCCAAAAAAATAGCACACCTTTCCACATTCCAGTGATGCGTGAGCTATGCAAACAAAATCCAAGATTCTGCTGGTGAGTAAATGTGCCAGCAGCTTTGTAAGCTATCTGTGCAGGAAATTTGCACTTTTTCCACATACGGAATCAGTCTTTACCAACTTCTGAGCCTTGGTGTACAGATCACCTTTCACATAACAAAATGCTGACTGAACTTGAAAAATATTTTTTCAATACATCCAATTGCCAAAGTTTTGCTGTGTCTTGGAAAAAGAACTATGAAATCAACTGACAAGAAAAAGGATTTTCTTGACAATTGAGCATAACTGGACTGCTCACTGTTCTTACTGTAATTTCCTCCTTATTAGGAATACGACCGTTTGACTGTTCAATGACTGTTTGTATTTATAGGTTCCAGAGTCTGCCACTATAATAGGAACAATCTTTGCTGTATACTTTTTTTAAAATACTGTGCTATTTCTCTTGCTGGAACTGTTAAGAGAAAATATATAGAATGGACCTATTGCTCATCAGCTTTATTTTTTAAACATACCACTTATTTTGTTGGAATTGTCAAAGACTATTTAGAGCTCATGATGCTTTCATTAAATGTTTACAACAGTAAATAGTTTGAATCCAGTAAATATTATTGGTTGTTGTACTGATCAATGCATGTTACCCATTCATCCGTTCTATAGATTACCAATTTATTTTATGTGTCAAAATATCTGGAATGCTTTTGTTGAAAGTACTCATTTCTAAATTGATTTTTTTACAGAGCTATCCATCTTTGAACTCCTGACTACTTGTTCTATCTGCTGCATATATAGTTTGTATAGTTTTATTTGCTTCTGTATATGTATTTTTGTGAAGTATTCACAGGGGTTTAAGTTAAAATAAAACCAAGGGATATCTTGAGTAACTGATTACTTCTGTCTAAATACAGGTAAGCATTCAGTTTAATTTTTTCCCTCCTCCTTTAGGGGCAGTTCAAATTTAGTACCAGAGCAAGGGCCAGGGAGAAAACAAGCAAGAATTCCTTCCCTCCCATAATTGTGCGGGAGAGAGAAGGCATACAAAGAAGTACGTGGCAGAAAAGCATTTTCAACAAAAAAATTTTTTTTTCCTAAAGGCCTAGATTCTAAGAGCAACACTTTAATACAGGAAAAAATAATCAAGGATTTAAAAGATTGATGCATAGCACAATTTTAAGCTATGAGAAGTTGTTACTTCTGTAGAGGCAGGTGAACAGTGATGTCAAAAGCCAGACAACCCAGTCTGCTCTCCTGTGCTCCTTTTCCTTCGTGTCAGCTCAATTTCCATTACTTTTCCCTCACTCCAGCTTTACAGCTGGACTACCATGGCAGTAGTATGGGTTACAGGATAAAGCCGAAGGGATATAGACCAGTGACATCTCCAAGAACATTTCACCACAGTCCAGGGAGGTCCAAATTCTAGTGCCAGTCAACTTAGTCCTCCCCACTAATCACCCCTCAGTCTCTAGCCATACTGACCTATCCTCTGCCATTCCCCCAGGCTGAAAGGTCCTCTTCTGCCTTTTATATTTTAATGCCATCTTTATCTCTTGAGGTGGAATAGGAAACATGTCATTTACCTTTGTACTCCTTACAGTAACTAGTTGGGTCAAAGATGAAGTAAAACCTCAGACTTTATTAATGGGGCTGGCTAGGAGACTTCAGAAATAAATGTGGGCCTTGCTCTGATACTAAAGCTTAGGGACTTAAAAGGGAAACAAAGTATGAACACTTCACAATGCTGTCTAGAGGCCAGCAGCACTGCTACTTAACTTGGATAGTTCTGGAAGATTGTTAACTTTGGCTTCTTCCAGTCCATGTTTGTAAAATCACACTTCATGAATTTCATTCCTCATCCAACAATGAGAAGAAACCAAAAACTTCAAACGTAAAGAATTATTAGAGAGAAGGTGCATACAGTAAATACTGCCCTCACATAGTGAGATGGAATTAAAATGGTACCTACACTCTAATGGCAAGTGCAGCCTGGGATGAACAGACACTGAGGACAGCTGTGTATCCATCAAACTCAGATTTACAGGGCTACAGAGTTTCACAGAATTCCTGCAACCCAGTTTTCTAGAAAAAATTGAACAATCACAATTTGGTTGCAACTTAGAAACCAAGTAAGATCACACTTAAATACCTGGACAAATGCTACAATGTGCAACACTTAGTATATGCAAGCACTATTCCCATTAGACCTGGGAAAAGTAGGCATTATTTGCCCCATTTGCACCTTGGGAAATGGACACAGAGAGCTTTAGAACTTGACCAGAATCATGAAGTGAAATAGACAATCAAGATCAAGTACCATAGTCTGCAGTTATTTTTATCAAGTCACTTCAATTTGAATTCAATGTCTTGAACATATTTCATCTGATAAGTTAATAACCATAACACCTATTTATATGGATTCACCTGAGGGTATGTGTTAGTTTTGACAGCGAATGTACAATTCTTGACTATCTGCAGATCTACAGCTACTTAATTTTTTATCTAGACCACTACTCAAGACTGTGTGTTTGATTTCTCCTTTAAAACTTACTTGGTAGTGTTTTCAGGTAACTAAGTGAGGACAACAAATACTGACTATTATTACCCTGGGTAACTAGATTTTAGTTTCAGTTGAAGCATTTGACAGGTGAGGTACAGGAGTTATATAGAAGAAAGCTAAGTATACTACAGTGACATCTGAGAAGGCATTTACAAAGGTTTCAGAGGGCAAAAAACATTCCCTAGCAGGTTTAAAGGTGATTACTTGGATTAATTTTTTGTGACCTTTTTTGGTGCTTTTCTTAAAAAAAAAAAAAAAAAAAAAAATAGGTTTGCTTCTTTTGTTTAAAACACCAAAGGCAAATAAATTACAGCTTTGGCTACTGCAAAAAGACTGATTTGGTATTAGTCATGATGGGGCAAGACTATCTAAACCAGGTGCTATTCTGGCTCTCTCCAGGGGTTTTATTTCACATAAAGCTAGCCTGAGAGAAAGGGAGAAAAGTTTAATATATTTGATGCTTTCACATTATTTCTTTTTTCAACAAAGTTAAATGCCAGATGCTTCATCCTTCTGTTGATTAGTTAGCACTGGAAAGTCAATTTCAAATGGTTAGAGAGAATCTACCAGGTCATCGTCAGTCCATTCTTCCTAAGAAGGAAAGAAAACGTAGTAAGAATAACATTATACTAAAGCGTAACAGCACTATTTAGCTCCTTACCTTTCAGGAAAATCTTCTTTTACTGTGATTATAGGAAGGTAATAAGCCAGGAAAATTTGTAGTAGTTCAATCTTACAGTACTATGGTTTGGTCTCACGAGACTACACTAATGACAGGAGTAAAGGTTACAACTGTGACCTTCTGCCTCTTATTATTAATATATATCTGATATGTAAAGTACAAGTTTTCTGAAAAGGATGAGAAGAATCCTTGAAAGTCAAAAACAGAGCAGAAATTTAGCATGTTATATCTATTTCTGTTGCCTTCCATAACCAGAGGAAGGATTCTTCATCAATTAACCATTATACTGCTTCAGAACAGGGTAAGAAAGAAGTGAGAAAAATCCCATGATAACAAGAAGAATATACATAAAAAAGGATGCAAAAAAAAAATGAAGGCTTCAAAAGCCCACGCCTCTGTAATACTTGCATTCTGGAAAAATAAAATCTTAACAGTATGGTCAGACTAGATTATACAATAAAAGTAATTTTTAAAATTTACCTTTGGAGAACATACCTCTTCATGTTTGGGTTTCTTAGAGACATAATCATCATCTTCATAGCCTTTCCTCTTCTTCCTGTAATTAAGCAGCCATCAATAATCTAAAACTGGCAACAGAAACTATAAACTAGCAAGGATATATATATCCTTATATATATATGTACATATATATAATACATATATCTGAAATAATATATAATATATATATTCTAGCAAGGTTAAATGAAATACTGTATATATATCTACTGAAGAACAAAGGTATGGAAGATGTAAAGAGATGCATTATGGAGAGGAAGACATTATCTTTCTAATTAATCTCTATGTTCAATGCAATTCTAACTAAAATCCTAATAAAATTTCTCATGGAAACTGTCAAGTATAACTGATGTGCAAGACTATGCAAAAAGAGCAAAAGAATCTGAAAGAATAAAGTGTGGGGCCCTTGTCCCAGGTATCATCAAAACACTATGTATGAAAGAAAGTAATTTATGGTGTGGTATTAGCAAGAATTAACTGGATCGATGATCGAGCAGATAGGCAAAAACAACGATGCATATATATGAATTTATAAGGAATATGTAATTGGGGAAAATTATGATTTTTTAAAAAACAGCTAGGTAATGGACTTTTTTAAAAAAAAAATTAGTGTTATGACATGTGTACCTCACATCATTCATAAATAATTCCAAATCATTTTAACAGATGAACACAAAGCAAAATAAAGATTAGCTTTAGCGTTAGAAGTGGTATTCAAATGTAAAAGCATAAAACATAACATACATCTCCTAGATACCACTAAGTTGAAAGACACAATAAAACAGCTGTAGGATACAGGAAAAGACAAATATATGAAGAACTACAGATCAGGAAAGTAACATCAAAAAACTGCACAAGGGTTGTAAGCAGGCAATATAGAAGAAATACAAATGGCTGTTAAACTAGAAACAGCAATGCCTCATAGTAATAGGGGAAATACAAATTAAAATACCAATGTGATACTGTTTTCTCACCCAGCCTGGCAAAAGTTAAAGACTGACACTACAACAGTTGTACAATATGTATGAAAGCATTCAGAGAGGAAAAACCACTTATTTCATACACACATGCAGAGAAGACTGGCAAAGGTATAAATCAGCTAGATACTACCTCTGAGGTCACAACTGGATTTGGGTTTTGGTCAAAGAGAACTTTGGTTTACCTGTACTGACTTTAGTAATGACAATAGACTTAATTGTTTGTGTCATAAAAAAAGGAATTTTAAAGACCAGGAAAAATTATTTTGTCCTGAAGTAATGCTTGTCACTGTGGTCCATAGACCAGTCATGAACCATTTTCAGTTTGCAATAAGGTGAAGTACAGAAACAGACTGTTTAGAAAATTTTACAACAATTCCATCGATTAATTTTATGACTACTAAAATCTTAATAAAATTTCAACTTGTGTTTTGTGTATTTCATTCTAGTAATTTGTTATTTATTGCATTTTATCCTGGATTTTTTTTTTAAGTCCTTTTCTTAGATAGTCTGAAAAGCAGCCCCCACCAAGTACTCACAAAAATGCAGAATTTGCTTGACATAGTAAAAAAGGCACATAGCAACTTGGAGTAAGAGGTACCCTAGCAGTTAGCAATTTTGGATTATAGACCACTCATAGTTAACCCAGCTAGAAGGATAAATTAATAGTCCAGTGGTGTGATCCAGAGGGTGATAAATTTCTTTATATGGTCAATATAAATATTTCACACCTTGTAGGCCGTACAGTTCACTTGTGTCACAACTACCTAACTCCTGCTGCAGTGTGAAAAGAGCGACAGACCGTATGCAAACTAATGGGCATGTCTCTGTTCCAGTACAAGTCTTTGTAAAAACAGGTAGTAGTTCACATTTGGCCTCTGGGCCAGTTTGCCAACCGTTGGTCTAAGCCCACTTCAAAATCAATGTGAAAAGAATATAATCGTTTCTGCAATACTTTGATTTATTCAAGTCGACATTTCTTTACTTCTCTGTAACCACTCTTCATTTCTGTGAGTTACCACTGAAGCCCACAAGTGAGATCTACCAATTTTAAGTTCTATGCTGAGCCATGCCTTGCAGTGACAGCTGCAATACAATAAAGCAGTACCACATTTTCCATGTTTCATAAATCCTTGGATAGTCTCCTGTGACTCTGTAAAGAATTTAAGCCACATGTACCTGGATCTGAAGGTCAAAGAATACTGTCCTGGTTTCTCAGACATTATGCAGTACATTCACCAATAACAGATCAAAAACATCTCAGATGCATCTTCACTATAAGAGGACACTGTTAATTCCCACAAAATATTAATAAGGTAGAACTTTGGAATCAATGTATTCCACAGAAAAAAACAACAGTTTTCTCATTACCATTCCACACCCCCACCTTGTTTAAATTCCTAAAAGATGAGGTTTGAGTAGATCCTTCAATTTGCAAAGCATAAAGAACCCCAATTCTGTGATTTCCACATTCAGCCTACAAATCCGTGAGAGACCTTATAGGTGTTCCTTATGGCTGCCAAGAAAATATCCAACAGCACATTCTCCTACTTAATCTGTCTTCAATTTAAAGTTCATCCCTGAAAGAAAACAGGCCAACTTTCCCTGTCCTAGCTAACAGAAGTAAATCTGAAACAGTACACTTGTTCCCTCAGACAAGATACCAGACCTGCAAAGAACCCAAATATTAAAAGACAGTACGAGGTTTGGAGATTCCCTAGGAAGACTCTAGAGGTCCCATGGGAAGTAACGGACAGGGCCTGCAACCCAAAGAATACATTAGTCATATGAGGAGAACAGTATATGAAAGCCAAACTACTGTCTGGTATTTAATCCTGTTAGAAATGTCCACTCGATTAAAGACAACCCAGCTTAATGGGCATTTTTCCCCACAAAAGCAAACATTGACCAGTTAAGTGACTTTAGGATGAGCTAGCCTCAAGAACAATTATATCCATCCTTAACACCCCCACCTACTTACGTAATTACATTAAGGGCAAGCTCAGCAGAGTGACATCTCTCCAACTTCTGTTTCAGAACAGCAACTTCTTCAGATCTGGGTGGCTCGTATTTTTTTACCAAGTTTCTCATACCTATGTGGAGATAAAGATTTATACTGGATAATAAAAAGTCCTGTTCCTGTAAGATAGCTGAGTATTTTCCCAACTTACTATGGGAATAATAACAAAACTCTTGAAATGTGATTATTACCAGCATTTGCAATGTTCTGCATTAAAATCCAGTAAATACCATACTTCAAGTAATTATAGTGGTCTCCTGCTTAGTCCATATCATATACAGCATAAAAAGAAGCATGTTCTTCAATCTAGTCAATACTTTTTCCAAATCCCACCATGGTCACTTTTTCAGATTTAAGGCTTTAAAAATCCATGATTCAGTGAACATCCTTTGTTCTCTGCCAGCTGTATTTATAACATTCTGTGCTACAGATGGTGGCCCAAAGACTATTTACAAAGGAAACCATTATTAGGTGACATGTAATAAAGGGAGGACACTTAGTAAAAATGTGTCAATGATCCTTTGCTTCAAAAAAATATAGCACCTAGACAATAAAGCATCAAAGAAAACAAAAATGTCCTCCTTAGGCTAAAAGTGAACTACTGTGTCAGTGACTTTACAACTGCCAAAATGTCCTCTCCCCTCGTCTGTTTGTATTATTCAACTACAATAAACCAAAGAATGTAAGTCTCAAGAATTTTTAGGGGAATGGTGAGAGATCCAGGGCTTATTATTAGCCAGCCACATGTGCCAAACAGGCAGAGCTTGCTGGACTGTAAACAAAGCAGTGTTTTCAACTGAATTAATACTTGTGGCTTGATTATCTTTGTTCCAAAAACTTAGGAATAAGATACCTTAATATTGTTATAGTGCTGTTTTGTCAAAAGCTATTTTTACTTCATGTTAAAACAAGTGGAGTAAAATGAAGGAACTGAAGAAATCAGTCAAAAGCTGTTAGCTGTATGATGAGCACAGTGGGTTATCTTTAAGGCTCCGTTTTACCTACTAAATCCGAGATCCCAAGATCTCTGGCTGAATCACAGCGTTGGAAGTGCACCCTCTAGTGGTGAAACTGAAGACCTACAGTTTTATGATTCGTAAATCACAAATCCATCACTCCCAATTGAAGGAAGCCCTCAAGATCATTTCAAGCAGAGAATCAAGAAATGTTATTTACATGCCCTGAAACAGCTTACCTTCTGAAATATAAAACATATAAAACACATTTACTACCCTCATCCAAGATCATGATTTTTAATCTCATATTTTATTGGCTTACCTAGTATTTCAGCTACATATTTAGTTAAAAAAGACAAGTAGCACAAACACAAGGGAGACAAACACAGATTACTTTTAACTCTAATGCTTAGTAGCCGTGAGCCTTCAGTGATACACAGGCAAGAATGAAGGAAGGAGAGGGGTGGGTAATCTCTACTCACCCACTAAGACAGGGTTTCTCAACACTGGCACTGCCAAAGGTTTGGGCTGGAAAAGTCTTCATTGTGAGAGGCTATATTTGTTTTCTGAGTCAGCTATTAAAAATTACTCTAAGCTCAGTAAGTCCTGAAACAGAAATGGATTCTCCTCTCACAGTTCTGAAGCCCCGGAGTCCGAAATCAGTTTCACTGGGTCAATATCAAAATGTTAGCAGAGCCCCATTCCCTCTGGAGGCTCTAGGGGGAAATCCATTCTTTCCTGTTCCAGCTTCTGGCTCCCAGCATCCCCTGGCTTGTGGCCACATCACTCCAATTTTTAAGGTTTGCATCTTCAAATCTTTCTCTGTGTTTTGTCTTCTCTGTCAAACCTTCCTCTGCCTTTCTTTAATAAAGACTCCTGTGACCTGGATATCCAGGATATCC